ATGTTAATTTTAAAAAGTATTACAAAAACTATAGAAAAATATTTAAAGCTGTTTGCGATAAGGCTAGGAAAATGTTTAATTGTAAAGTTATATCATCTTCAGATAATAAGAGCAAAGCGGTGTGGAATGTTGTGAAGTCTGAACTTGGAGTCCTGAATTCCAATCATTTGGATTTCCCTGATTTGTGTGTCGGAGACAAGCAATTAAAAGATGGACAAAATGTGGTTAATTTTCTCAATGATAAATTTTGTAACATTTACAAAAATATAAATTGTATGCCTTGCTTACACACTGCAACTAATTTTATTAATAATACTAGTAGGCCTAATAATATAAGAATGAAATTTCAGTTCAGACATGTATCGATTTTAGAAATTAAAAAAACCGTTAGAAATTTAAAAAATAAAAAATCTTCTGGATGGGATGAAATTCCTATTGAATTAATTAAAAATGTCATAAACCATATTGCAGAGCCTCTGTGTCTAGTAATCAATCAATGTTTTGATGAAGGAATTTTTCCCTATCAATTAAAAAATGCTGAGCTGAAACCACTTTTCAAAAAAGGCTTAGTAATGGACCCTGATAACTATCGTCCTATTTCAATACTCCCATCTTTGTCTAAAATCTTTGAAAAAATTGCTTACAACCAAATCTATTCATATTTCGAAAATAATGATTTATTTACCAATAAACAATATGGTTTTAGATCTGGGAAAAACACTATATCTGCTGTCTCAGATTTCATAAATCAGGTTTCTGATGGCTTGGATGGGTCTCAGAGCACAGCTGCGGTGTTCTGTGATCTATCCAAGGCATTTGATTGTGTAAATTACAATATATTAATGAGTAAACTTAAATATTATGAATTTTCTGACATGGCTCTGTCTTGGATGCATTCATATTTGACTAACAGACATCAAAGAACAATAATCGTAAAAAATGGTAAAAAATGTATTTCACAGTGGCTTAACACTAAATGTGGGGTTCCGCAAGGGTCAATACTAGGCCCCTTGCTATTTTTAATATTTATAAATGACTTACCTCGAAATGTATCGTCTAACCTTATCTTATATGCTGATGACACTACAGCAATAGTTAAATCAAATAATTTGCAAAATCTTAAACAAGAAATCAGTCTTTCTATTCTTAGTTTATCTAATTGGTTTACAGCCAACGGGCTAAAACTTAATAATTCTAAAACACAGGTGATGTTATTTCAAACAATTCAGAATAGGCAAAACTCCACTGTTGAATTATCTTATGATAATAATATTATATCCTTTACTGAAAATGCAAAATTTTTGGGTTTAGATATCGATAAGAATTTAACATGGAAAACACACATAAAAATGGTAGTTGGTAAATTAAATACGGCTTGCTTTCAAATGTATGTTTTGAGAAATGTAATAGATTTAAAAACTAAACTCACAGTGTACTATGCAATGTTCTTTTCTGTCTTGCAATACGGGATTGAATTATGGGGAGCAACTTCTTATTCTAAAGCAGTTTTCAAAATTCAGAAGAAATTTATAAGGATTTTATCATTTATGCCTAAAAGAACCTCATGCAGAGCTTTATTTGCTAAATATGAGATATTAACTTTGCCTTCACTTTATATATTTAAAATGATGGTGAATTTTAAAATTAATTATCAAATGTACAATGATAAACAAATCAGTCATCCATATCTTACACGCTCAAAAAATTTTCAATATCCAAGACATCGCCTTTGTTTATATGAAAGATCTCCTTATTATATGGGATTAAGGCTTTACAACAGTCTACCCACTAATTTCAAAGAAATTAACAGTATTTCAAAATTTAAAAATGATTTCAAACGATACCTTTTACAGAAAAATTATTATAATATTTCCGATTATTTAAATGATAAGTAAATATATTTTAGTTTAAGCTATGTGGATTTTAGTTTTGTTATGTAACTTAGTGTTTAAGATCTCTGACAATATCACCTGTTTCACCAGCTAAACGCTGGATCTGTGAAATGTTTTGTGATAATAAAGTAATATTTCATTTAATTTCATTTCATTTCATTTCATTTCAAATTCCTTTTGATAACAGAAAAGGCAAGGTAAACACGGAATTTTTAAATGTTACAGCAAGTTTGGTTAGTTATGTTAGGTTATTTTTTTTAGAACAGTTTCATTTTATTATTGTTTGTTGATACCGAACAATATTATCGTTGTTGTCAGCTGATATGTTTCAATTTACTATGATAGTGGTTTAAATACCTTATTCTTGCAATCCGATTGTTGTCTTCACAACTAGTTTCAACCTGCTAGGAGGTCATCATCAGGTGAGTACAATGATGAAATTACTTCATATGAAGGTCGTCAGTAACAGTTTTTTTACATTCATACAAACACAGGACGAATAAACACATAGTGCGCACACATATATGGTCGATAAAAACATTTAACTCGACAAGCGGACCCGTGTTGAGAATGCGGAAGTTGCGTCTAGACTGTAGGGTAAACAGCTGGTCAAGCATCACGCACATTTTCTTATCGCTCGTCGGTTCCATTCCCATTGTCTCTGCCCTCCCCTTCCCTCTCCAGTATTTCTATTGCAGTGTTGTATATGACGTTTGAATTAAAATAAAGTTGGTCGTTTAAAACATTATCCATGTCTGATTTGACGGCTCTATATATCTCGAATTCTTCCAGGGTGTTAATTTCAAACTTGTCCTGTGACGTATGTAAAATTTCCATGTTTTCATTAATGCTGCTGTAATTATGTTGATGAGAAACTAAATGTTCGGCAAAGGTTGAAGTTTGTTTTGAGGTGGTCTTCTTTGGTATGTGCTCCTTAAAGCGTTTGGAGAAAGAGCGGGAAGTTTGGCCTATGTAATATTTATTACAATCTGAACAGTTGATTTTGTAAACACCATTTTTTTCATATTTAAGTTTAGTTCGAGATATATAGAGCCGTCAAATCAGACATGGATAATGTTTTAAACGACCAACTTTATTTTAATTCAAACGTCATATACAACACTGCAATAGAAATACTGGAGAGGGAAGGGGAGAGCAGAGACAATGGGAATGGAACCAACGAGCGATAAGAAAATGTGCGTGATGCTTGACCAGCTGTTTACCCTACAGTCTAGACGCAACTTCCGCATTCTCAACACGGGTCCGCTTGTCGAGTTCGATGTTTTTATCGACCGTATATGTGTGCGCACTATGTGTTTATTCGTCGTGTGTTTGTATGAATGTAAAAAAACTGTTACTGACGACCTTCATATGAAGTAATTTCATCATTGTACTCACCTGATGATGACCTCCTAGCAGGTTGAAACTAGTTGTGAAGACAACAATCGGATTGCAAGAATAAGGTATCTAAACCACTATCATAGTTATTATTCGCAATCCGGAGGCTACTCGCACCACAATGATGTTTCAATTTGTTAATATCGATATATCGAGAAAAAATCATCGATAATAATGAATGTTCCCTTTAACAGGAAAGTACCCAGTTTAGTTTGAAGTCAACCCAGAACCTTAACAGTTTGACCACCTCGTCTACAATACCCTATTTGAGGGTCACATGATAGACTGTGTCTTGTCATAATTGATTTTGAGACAGTTTAGCACAAACCATTCATTGGCTTTCATTCAATAGGCTAGAAATGCTGCCTCTGTTGGTATGTCCTTCAGGTGCTGTGCCTGATCAGTAACGATGTGTCATCTGCGAAGAGCAGCAAGCGCCTGTTAAGGGACAGATCGTTTATTATTATTACGAACAGGGCAGGACCCAGAATCAAACCTTGGGGCACACCACACCATGGTGCATTTCCTTGCTGCTGGAGGAAGCTCCATGCAGCGAAACAATTTGTTTCCTTTTTTCCAAGTAGGTAGGGCCTAGTTTGCTAGTGATTTGTGGACCACTCTCCAGTGATGCCATACTTCACGAGCTTGGCGAGGAGGATGTCATGGGAGCCCACGTTGAACGCCTTGCTTAGATCACAGAGACTTAGATGGATGGAGTCATTAGATTCAAATAATGCTTAATTTTTTTTAACTGTTTATAAGTTTAAAACATTTAAAATTTTCATAAATTCCCAATTAGCGAATTTTCCCTATACGGAATAATCTATTTTTGGGAATCTTTGATTAGCAATCAAATATTCCCGGCCCACATCACTACTGCAGATGAAGCAAACTTCTATTCGGAAATTGATTAGATTGATATTGATTGGATTTTAATTTACACATTTCCTTAAGTATGCCAGATTCCTTCCATATTTAAATAACCTAACATTAAGGTTAAATGAGACTTAGGTTTGACAGAAAAGGTAATGAGGTGCGTTTTCAGGGCTTAGTAAAATATAATTTTTGCATAGGATGAATTAAGTACCTACCATAAGTTTGCCAAATTTGATGAGAATACCAAGTTATACCATAAAAAAGCAGACTACCCTACTTAGTAACACTTTGCTAACTCTCCTTAAGAATAACATGTGATTTTTCTCCATAACCCATTAGTCGTACAACCTCATTTCAAAATGGCCTAACTTACTATAAAATGGCCTAATTCTCACCCCATAAAACCCTGTTCAATTTGACCGGATTGTGTATTCTGCCTCTAGGGACATCAAAACAAAAAAGTAAATTGTTCCTGGTTTTAGCTCTTACCATGAGACCAATAGCAATAACTTATTTTCTCTAGGCTATATGGGAAATTCTCTAAAAAGACTGTTATTATCCTAGTTAGCCTGTATAGCTTAGGGTTGGAATGCAAGCCAATATGTATCAGTTAAGTCTAGCTTGTGAAGTACTGTTTGAAATAAATACCGTAAGCTGACCAAAATAGTAGCCTATACACCTAGTCAATATCGTGTTAACAATAATTTGCGTAGTGAAGAACTCTCGTCAATTAATCCTAAGTCTGTTCTACAATTTTAGGGGCATTTAAAATACTTGACAAAATTAATATAGTGTTCTAAGAATAGCTTGGACTAATGTTTTTTTTATTTACAGTGGATTCCAGTGTTCGAGGAAAAAGAAGGATAATAAATTGTCCAGTCATGACTAATGGCAGAAAAAATCAACTCTACATCCCCCCTTCCCCCCTTTCTCCCCTCTACTAAAAGATCTACAGCTGAGTTGGGTGTCTTGAACGAGAAACTCCAAGCTCAGCTCAGAGGCGATTGTAAAAAGTAAGTCAATGTTATTCTGGCCCAATATAAACTTCTACAAAATGGTTGGACTTAATCCTTTGAGCCCCACAAAATTTATTTTGAATTTTCCTATTTTTACCATTATTATACTTCATCTTTGAAGCACCAATAATCCATAATTTAATAAAACAAGTTTTAAATATAATCACAAATAGTTTTAATTGAACGTTTAGTGAATGCTACTTCAGTTGTTCGTGGGTTCAAGTCTAATGAAACATTAGCATTAGTTTTGAGTTTAGGTATCAGGGTTCTATAGTCAATAGTGACATTTCTTAGATACAGCCATAGTTTGTTAGTGTTTTTCTTAATTACTTAGACTTTTTAGTTAGGTAGTTGGAATTCAATAGTGATCATAGACAATGGTGAAACCAAGGTCATAGTCTTTAAATGACAAGTTAATCTGTATAGAAAAAAAATAGCTTACTCAAAATGATTGAGTTGTTCACATTGGCCTATCTGATAAATATTCCTACCTAGATCAAGTTGATGCTCTAAAAACTGTCCTCACTGGAGTTCTATTTTGAAATTTGAAAAGGTAGCATAATTACTGTAATATCATGTTCAAATAATCGTTAATAAAAGCTATATAGGGTTTTAGGTACTTTTTTGGAAGTAAATTACTCTAAATCGTTTTCAGACAAGTTTTACTTAGCTCGAGTAATTTTTAGGATTTATTCTGAGTCCCTATATACTGATTTGGAAATCACATTCGACTACGGGTGTATAAGAACACACAGTAGTTTTTTGAAGTCGAGAGCTCCAAGATTCTTCTCTGAACTTTGCTCCCACTACTGTCCAACACAGTCTGTGGTTGTTTTGGGGAAAGTTGACCAGTTTTCCATTGAGTCTTTCGTCAGGTATCTGAGTATATTGTGCCAGTAGTCTTTGGGATTTTATTTGTATAGCCTGTTATGTAGCATGCCGTTTATTTGATACCTCTAAGACTATTTTTAGGTTGTTTTAATCGGTTGGGTGTCCACAGTATTTTGCGCAACAGCTCAAATGAATTCACTGTGTTTTCCTGCCCACTGTTTTTGGATGCCCAACAAAAAACCAACCAAACACTTGGAAGGTTAGCAGCACCTGACATGTCATCTCTGCTGAGTTGCGATACCTAGGAAGCAGTTTTGAGACTAACATAATCGTAATTTGTTTTTCGACTCCTTTATTTGCCAAAACAATGAAAAAGCTGAGTTCAAAAATTATAAATTGTTAAAATTGAAAAAGTAGTGAATGTAAGCCTTGTGATTAATTTACAGCCGTGGTAGGTAAATAGTCTGCTACAAGTGTGCCTAATCCTCTAGCCTTCACAGCTTTGTGAGCAAACTAATATTTTTTTTCCAAACTAGAGCATGGATAGTTTTCTCTGTTGATTTATTACCTCTTCTTGATGTTAGTTGTTATTGTTGTTTAGTGTTGTTGTGTGTGCACGAATGCATGATTTAAATCATTAGTCAGCCCACTTTATGCTAGGTTTGAGTGTATCATAATCGTTGATTTAAACATACACATATTACGCCATTGATTTAACATTATATGTAGCGACATTTATGGGGCTACTGATTCCTGTTAAATACAACTGTTTAACTGCAAAGATACTACATATCAAGAACCACCCGGGGACTATACTGCTCTGTCAGCTGTTTGATAATTTCAGCCAAAAAACCTATGGCTAATTTCCTGCAGATTTAGCTGTGCAAACACCCTAAAAATTTATAAAGATAAAACTTTTATTCACAATCATTACCTATTTCCGTATCTTACATATTTGTTCAAAATTGTAAGGCATATAAAGTTAAAGTTTTAAAATTGTTTAACATAGTGATGATAGCATATGAACAAGAGTTTAATTTTCCTAGTAGCTATGTTTTGTAAAATAATAAAATAATATTATTTATGTTTTGTTATTGTTTCAGGGAAATCTACACCCAAAACACAATACGTGAAAAGGAAATAGCAATTGTTGAATACTTGTCGGCATTGAAAAAGTTAAAGGTTGATGCTATAACTCCAGAGTCTGATGTGTATGTCACTCCTGAAACTTCCCCTACCAATGCTAGCTACAAGTTTGGACATGCTCGCTGTGTTTCAGACAGTGGTTTGAGTTCTCTAGCTGTTTCGGATAATAAGTATTTGCCCTCGCCTCTGTACTATTCATTAGTCACCGTCGATGAGGTCTACGGACCGGAATCCGGTGATATTTTGGAAAAGGAACTAGCCGAACAAGATCAGCTTTTTAAGTCTTTCAAGTCCATTATCTCTAAGGAATCAAAATCCCCGAAGAGTAAACCATTCACTTTACATTCCCCACTGCATAGAACTTCGCAGAAATTGCCTAAAAATTGTTCAGGTATCATAAGTCCGAAAGGTTTGGAACTCAAGTTGAATGTCAAAGCGAATGGAAGGGATAAAATAAAGCATTTTACCACCAGTAGAATCTTTAAAGAATCAGATGGTTTTGGTGAGAGAAATGTGAAAGACAGATTTAGAGGTGATATTTGTGATGGCAACCTCATTGACATCTCAGTAATGAACAAGGCTAAGGCAGAAATTGACGAGACAATGGAGGCGGAAAGTATCGGTCCTGACTCGTGTTTGGAACCTGCCTCTTCCGGCTATGTGACCGCAAGCAGCCCGAAAGATCATACCAATTCAGAAAACTATGGAGGTGATTTAACAGAAATTGCAACAAGTGAAGACATACCTCATGATAATGATCAATCTGCGAGGTCATCATCCATGTCATCTGATGCTGGGACTTGGGATTCTACTTTCCCGGCTGCCATTGACAAAGAGGATGACAATTTTGCAAGGAAAAGGGCTGTGGAACTTGATGATTATTCAAGTGCTCTTGTCTCTCTTGGCGACAAAGCTGTAACACCTAAAGCAAGTTTAACTAGTGTAAATCTGCTTCCGAAATCTGATTGCGCTTTAGATTATAACTTGGGAAGTGTAAACAACCAATTTAACTTGAACGAACAGTATTACAATACAAACGAACAAGAGAATCTTCTGGGTAGTGATGAGAGTACTGTGATGGACTCTTCCTTAACTGACTTATCTGCCTTAGATAACAAAGATGGCAAACTAATAGGAGTCAAGACCAACTGTTTCATCGATGCTGCAAGTTTATTGGATGAAAACGAAATATCACCCGCTCCATCAAATCCGGTTTCCTTAAATGGTTATGAAAACCCAGATTATAATCATAAGTCCTCTTGGTCAGGTTCCGAAGTGGACGAGTATCAGTCTAATGACGTTAAAACTATTAACTATTGTGAAACAAATAAATTGGAAAGTGAAAATAATGCAGCAAAAGAAGAGAAATCCAACTATGACAGCGATTTTGAAAGAAGGCGTGCTAGTATTATTCGGCGAAACACTTTTGAACTTGAATTAGACGATGAAAGGCTTGCAGTTCTAAGAAACGAATGTGAAAAACATAAAGATAAATCTAAGAAAAGTGTAAGTGAAGGAAACACAAATTGCATAACTCCAGGCGAAACTGCAACATTCTCCATTGGTACTGAAGCTACAGTGAACATAGTCGATATTACTAAGCACACTCCAAAGTCACTCCCATCTCAACTAAATTGTTTTGATTCTAGAAAATGTGAAGATGAATTACACTCACCAGATTCACTCAATAACGATGGACCTTTAGAAAACGTGTTCAGTAATTGTTCAAAACAAGATTACAATCATTACTCACTGCCGTTTGAAATTAACACTCAAATAATTGAACCAGAAATTGTAACTGAAGTTGGAAACGGTTCATTGACTCACCATGTGAACCAAGTGGATGACACTTCCCTATCAAATGGGTTTGGAAATGTGACAAGTCCATACAAGAACTGTGTAGAGCATATCCAAAACAAGATAGAATCTACTCCTATAATATCAGGCGGTGTATCATTGAAAGATCTGTCATCGCCTGAAAAACCATATTTCAGTCCTCTTATGAACCGGAGGAAGACAGAACTAGCACCTATAGTATCTGGAGGATCAGTTATAGATACTGAAACAGAAAAAGAGGTTAAACCTAGAGCAAGTCCTCCTGTTGCTTTATCAGAGTCTTGGATCGTTGATATGAGTTCAGATAAAACTTCACCAGGAATGAAAAAGAAGCATCTTAGTGACTCAGTATCGAGTTTAAATTCAGAGAATGCAGATAAGGTTACTAAAATGAATTCTTCATTGGGGTTCTTCATTTCTCTTGATGACAAAGTAAATAAAACCCCTAGTAACAGTAGCAGCAGGTGCTCCAATTACAACACAAGCAAACAGAGTGACATTGATAAAACAACATGCGGGGCAGAACCGGTATCAGGTAATGGCAGCTTCAGTGGAAATAGTTCATCTTGTGGGTTTTTTGTTGACTTCAACAGTCCTGCTGTAGATAACAAAGTCGTAGAAAAGGAGTCTGCTGCTCCAGACAAGAAACTATTTTCCATGTTTATTGACATAAGTGAAACCGGAGAAAGTGATGGGAATTCCAAAACAAACTCTCCCCATGTTTTCAAGAAGAGAAATCATAGGAGGACATTTTCAGGTGTGTTTCCGAAATGCGATGCTAGAAGTAGATCGACAGAAATCAGTTCAGAATCGAGTCTAGAAATGACAGAACCCTCTGATGCTACAAAAGAAAGGATGTCTTTAGAAAAGGAATTGCATGTTTCGAGGAGATCTAGTAGTCAAGGAAAGTCAGAAGAGAAAAATAAGAAACAAAACACTCATGCTAGTATTGAGTCAGAGCCATCTCCTGTTCCTCATCGGAAGTCTTTACCCTCAGGGTTACAACCAACCTCACAAAGACACTCCTGGAATTTTGATTCTCACAATGTAAACATCTCTGCAGCTCCGAGTGAAGAAACGTCAATAAAAGTACACAAGAGATCACACAGTGTCTCTGTAAATAAATCTCTGGAAGTGATGTTCAACGTTGAGCATGACGAAACCAAACCTTCCAGTGTATCTTCAGTTAAAGCTTCTACAAGCAATTCAACAGGTTATGAGTCGGGGCCATCCTCAATTGATGATACTGTCTCGAGATCTTTCAACAATAGAAGTATGATGGCTTCCTGGCATGGGTCGATAAAACCAAGTGCCGAACTACAAAAAGTCATTGCTAAAAGCGAATGGAAGGACAAACCTCACAAACTCAAGAGCCCTCTGGATTCCAAATCCGACATAGTAGATATCTGTGAATCATTTGACAAGATCGATGAAGTAGCTTCCATTACCAGAAGTGATGATTTCAGCAACGCCTCAAATGAATCTAGCAACACTGGGGTCAACAATTCTACGTTTATTATCAGCGACGTTTCAAATGTAGCTAATGCTACCAGTGAAGACTTGGAGCTGACCACACCTACTACAGATGTCATCAGTCAATTGTCCAAAGACGACAGTGACAAGACTGGAGACTTTGATGATATCAGCGAGAAGAAGTCCGGTGATATTCCTAGGACACCGGATCACAGTATTTCCCAAACTGAACTACCCCCACTAGAAAACAGTTTCAGCTTTGTTAAACTATCGGATATGGATAAAGAACCGAACAAGGTTCCTTTAGAAGGGAAGAGCATTCCGAACAGGATGAGTAGAAGTATTCCAGAAGCTTCTTGGATAGAAAGTAAGATGATGACAAGAAGTGCCACGAGTCGATCCTTGAGTCGATTATTCCCTCACTTGAACACATCAACTCGTAACTTGACACCAGAGTCTGTAGAACAAGATACCGGTACTGACTTTTCAGAGATCAGTAGCATGCAAAGCAGCATGGATCCTTCAGCACTAGGTAAGAAATGATTTTCATTCATAACTGATTTAAATTTATGAATTTGTCTTTGAAGAAGTTATGAAGACCAATTAGCCATTTAGATTTGTTAATGGGTGTAGCTTAAAAATATCACTTATTTTCAAAAATTTAAACAAAGTAAAGCTTTGTTAACACCTAGACAATTTTTTTATATTAGCTTGAAAAGATAACTCAACTTTACTTTTTTTCCTAAATTACTGATTACTAAATAATGCTGAATACAATGTGCTGTTTTTCAATCTTATTCTCTTTTAGTTTGCTTGTTCATTTGGCAAATGTTTTACTGTCAAAAAGGAATTTGACTGAATCTTTTGAGTGGTTCTTTTTGCAGTACAGTAGAATCCTTCATATCTGACCATCATGTTACCAAGCCTCTGGCCGGACAAAAAATCTATAAAAGGTATAAAATAATTACCTGAGTACTGGCCAGAGTGATCCTGTTACTGTAGTCCTTATGGATGACGCGTTTCGAGGAGCTTAAGTCCTCAAGATTAGATCTTGTACAAGAACATTTAACACTGTCACTTCGAAAAGGTTGTCAAGAGTTTAAATACAAAACACGGACACATAAAATAAATACAGACGTTTTACGAACAGTTACGTCTAGGCCTACAGACAAAAACTTGCAATGTCCGACCGCACAGTTGTAGGGTGAAAGTCACGACTCATGAGTCACGATTAATGATTTTAAAAGACTAAACTAATGCTTTATAAAAAAGTTTTGTATTTTGTGATTCTTTTCTTTTTTCCTTTTTTCATTTCGCATCACCTAACTTTATCATTCACAGAAGGTAGCACTGAAGAGACTTCAGCATCCTCATGTGGAGGTCCTGTATCCCGGTTAGGAGAGGATCTGCTCCGGATGTTCCTGGAAGAGATCAGTCCGGACGTGACTCTGGAAGTCTCCGGAAGACGGATCAAGGCTCACAAGTGTATACTGAGCTCCAGATGTCAATACTTTGCAGCCATTCTGAGCGGTGGCTGGGTGGAGAGTGCGGGAAACGTTATTTCCCTTCAAGGGTAATTTATTTTCAAGTGTTTTTTTTATATTCCTTCCTTTGAATATAGATTTAGTTAGTTTTGCTTTGCCACACATGTAATCTCAATTATCAACCGATACTTACTGGAATCATGGGGTCGTTCAAATTGGAAAACCTGAGTAGCTGGAGGATTTTTGAGAAAAAAATTGTTTCCTGATTGTTTATGTACTTAACGCATTACTAGTCTGTCTTTTTAATCACCATGACATTTTGGAAAACCTTTCTTCATGTGCTTGGAAAGGTTTCTGTTATTCCTGTTTTATCAACCGAGGGCTCTGAACCCTGACATTCAAAGTAATCGTGTTTAGTTTAGTGGACTTGAAGACATTTTTTATCCATGGTGTGATTTCCGTTGCAAAGCACAGTTAAAAAGCTACTTGTAAACAAATCCAATTGTATTTCCAGGTTTTCCTACAGTGCTGTCCACTTTGCCTTGTGTCACATATACAGTGGTGCCAGCAACATTCCTGACTCTATCAACATTGTAGAACTGGCAACTCTGGCTGACATGTTGTGTCTCGAAGGGCTCAAGGAAGTGATTATGTACACGCTCAAAGTTAAATACTGCCATTTTTTCCACAAGGTAACTGTGTTGTTATTTTTTATCTATAGTCATCCTAATCTTTTTAGTTTACAACTGACCTTGAATGTAAAAACTACTAGGCTATCTAAATATTTTATGGCAAAAAAGAGTTCCTGGATTTAAGGTCTGTGAATGTAAATGAGATCTTAGCCTGAAGGCATCGACATTTCATAAATCAGCCTACTTTTCACGACTTGCCTGTCTATAATACCCACTCCATAGTTCTTCACCATTAAACGATAAATTAACTGTGTATAATCAATGCTATTAGTTAATTGACTTAAACACTTTCTATCTGTCTTCTGCATTGAAGTTATAGTTTGACTTATAATTTGCAGCCTTGCCCGATGTGCACTGTGGGTGTGTTGGAATGTTTGCCGCTTGCTGCTGCGTACGGCCTGGATGAGATTTACCGCAAAAGTCTACGCTGGATCACCAAACACTTTGTTAGAGTCTGGCCCACCAAAGGATTTGCGACCCTGCCCCGGGAACTGCTTGACAAGTGCTACAAACAGCACATCGTTCATATGGTTAGTTCTGGCACTTCTTGTTAATTATTTCAAAATTTGATTTTTTATCACCTAATTGTAATTGATTTATAAGTGGCAGTATGCTAAACGCTATATTTTGTCATGCTTTTACAACTTTGACACTGAAAGACAGTCGAGTGTAGTAATATGGATCTGGGGTGTGTGTTGTAGCTTGAGAAAAAAGTGAAACCTTAAATAAGCTTGTCAACCTTAATAAGTGTTTTTGGACAGTGTTGATGTCCAGAGTTTTGTCATTCCTATACAATAACACATGACTCACGGCTACAACAGAACAACAGCTAAAAACAATTATGTGAAATTTTTTTATCTTCCATAATGTCTAAATTCAGTCCAATTAAGATTTGAGATTTCACATTTTGTAAGAGATTTACAGATTTGTGTGTTATATTATAGGCCTAAATATAATGATAATTATTTTAAGACAGCAAGGCCACCTAGTTATATATTTAAAGTTTCTAAAATCGTTGATAAGAACAACAGCACAGAATGAAGTGAGGTATTCTGTTGCTTTGTTATTGACTGAATCGGCATTTTTATTTGGAACAGTTGGATCAAGTTTCAGACCATAACTCTATTAAATGTTCTTTGGATCGAACCGGCGACCTTTTGACTATCAGGAAAAACAACATCCACCCAGCTTTTTGTAATGTGATCCATCGATGCTGTAAAAACATGATCTGCCACTTCTTCAAAGAGAAAACTAACTGAAGCTGCATTAACATAAATTATTACACCAAACCCTTTGTTTCAGACTGTGGACAATGTGCTGGAGACCATTCTATGCTGCAGTAAGCTGCAAGGGCTGATCCCCAACGTGAGGTGGGCAGAGCCGGTGTTGGCTCTCACCAACAAGCTGTACGATGCTTGCGTCAAGTTCACAGCTCAGCACTTCTGCGATATCCTCTCCAGTGACATGTGAGTCAAGTGCAAAGAATTACATGGAAATACCTGATAATTTCAGTCATATAACTGTCATTGAGAGTGGAGACAATATATTGGGTCAGAAATAATTCTACAAATAACTATTAAAATTTGCTTTATACTGTTTAGGATTTTTGGTCAATACAGTAGTTGTCCAACGATTTCCCAACAGACTTGGGGATAGGAGAATCATTAAAAATGTCCGATTTTCAAGATTGGGTTTTCTAAACAGATTTGATCAAGCCAAAATATAACCACTATTTTCTAGGGATGGACGGGATTGAATTTTTAGTTCGGGACGGGACGGGACGGGATTTTTATTTCCTTCCCGATTTTCGGGACGGGACGGGATTTTTTTCTGTGCGTAAAAAGAAACTCTTTAGTATTGCAGTTACCAAAAAAGGCATACAAAATCAATTTTTACTGTTTGTGGCACTGATCTATAAAAACCAAAAAATGGGTAACAATTTACAGGTACCAATAGCAACTTGTGACTCGCGGTCACGGTGCGGTCGTCAAAATGACGGAGGTCACGAGGTAATTGTCGGTATGACTCACGATCACGGCATGATCGTCGGTATAGCTCACGGTCACGGCACGATCGTCGGTATGACTCCGCGATCACGTCGTGATTGTCGGTATGACTCCGCGGTCACGGCACGATTGTCGGAATGACTCTGCAGTCACGGTGCGATCGTCGGTATGACTCCGCGGTCACGGGGTGATCGTCGGTATAACTCGCGGTCACGGCGCTATCGTCGGTATGACTCCGCGGTCACGGGGTGATCGTCGGTATGACTCGCGGGGTCACGGCGCTATCGTCGGTATGACTCCGCGGTCACGGCGTGATCGTTGGTCCATGAATCGCGGTCAAGGCGCGATCGTCGTTATGACTCGCGGTCACGGTGCGATCGTCGAAATGACTTTGTCTTCTGCGTTCGCGGACATATCGCTCGCAATAGCAGCGTAATCGACACTCGCGATGCGGCAAAATCGCCGCCGATCGGACCAAATCCCGTCCCGAAAAATTCCCGAGTCAAATGAAATCCCGTCCCGAGAATCGGGAATATTTTTTTCCCGAAAAATTTCCGAAATTTTGGGATCTGTCCATCCCTACTATTTTCTAATGGGTAATAAATACAAATTGGGAATATTTTTTTACCTTCTTTCTCCACACATCAAATAGTTCCACAGGGGACAAAATATTGTGTCTTATGTGTATTCTATGGCCTACCGTACTTCTTCTATGGTAAGCTAGCTGCTATTTCCTTCATTCTACAATTAAAATCCTGGTCTAGAGCCATTCCTTGAACAATATTAAGTATTTGGGACAGTATAAAAACACAGACGTACTTACAGTACAGGTAGTTGTATAAGACTACACTACTACACTCAGGGTTGCCTCCCGTCCCCATTATGTCGGGACAGTCCCAACCTGAGTCCCTTTTGCCTTTGTTTATGTCCATGTTAATCCTGGGGAGAGGGGAGACACGATTTTTCCCCAACAAAAGGTAGGACTACACTACATAACAACTCACATGACACTTGCAGGTTCATGTCATGTGGTAGAGAACAGCTGTGGACAATGTCCAGACTAGAGGAAGTGCTGCTGTCTGCCGCTGAGAAGCTACCTCCAGATCAAGCGTGCAAATGTTACTCCCACCTCTACAAGCTTTTGAATCTGGTTGATTCTCCGCAGGCACCAGTAGAACTGAAACTTAATGAAGTAAGTTTTTAATTATTTTATCCGGTAATAATTAAGGCTGCACGTGGAAGAACAGTTGTTTAATTAATAATAACTTTTGTGTCATTGAGCATGTACATTTAACAACAAACTCACATGTTTAAATAACATCCATTTGGGGTAATAGGAAACAAACAGATATGGGGAAAATGAAAATAATCATATGTTGGCTGACTTAATGTATCTTAACCACAAGCTCTTGTTTAAATATCTTCAGGTTTATGATCTCTTGAATTTTAAAATTAATGTAATATTCAATTAAAACACTAAGCATAATGTCAACAGTCTCATTTTTTCAATTTTTCAATGGCCATTCTTGGTCAATTATTTGTTTAAAACTAAAAACCCTTAATATAGTCCAGTGCAATTAGGTTATGACCCGGACAAAATTGATAACAGGCTGAAAATTGGTGGAAATGTTCAAAACAATGTCCTGAGTGGCCCACACAAAGTCCCAAGAAATCCCAGTTGGGGAACGGCCACCATCTTGAAAAAAATGCCGCCATCTTGGAAATTTAGATTTCTTGCTGTATCTTTTGAAGTAATAGTCCGAAAGGCATTATTTATGTCTCAAATTAAACGTTTTGGGCTCATGTATGAGGGTAATATATAATTAAAGAGTTTATTATGTTCTAAGCATTAGTTTTATTTATATTAACCTAAAAATATCTATAATAATGATTTAGATACGGTTATGTCCCATTTTTTATACGAGTTGTGGATATTTATAGGCATGCAAGGTGGATGGGATGCTCCCTGGTGTGGATTAACGTCCGCACTAGTGAGTACTATGACTATCCGCAGTACTATAATGTAGTTCGGATTCCATAAACTGTATGCCCCTTAGTTGCCATTAGCTGCGTGGGCTACTAATTAACATCTGTGTCTAAGGAACATGTCGGCCTTAGTCACTAACAAGACTACAAGATCTTGCCACTCATCCTACACTCATCCTTCAGTTATATTTGGTTAAAATACGCACATAGTGGCGTCCCCATCTAAAATAATTGATATAAATATACAAAATAAGCTTTTTTCTCTTTTTTCGTAATGTACTTGTTTAAGCCCTTAATCCTATTGCAATTTCTTGCACCCCACAATGCTTAGTCTTTGGAATTGGTTAAATTTAAATATAATATCCATTTAACTATGATAAAGCTTTGAAAAGGAGACAATTAATACAGCTCATGCAATTATTACTGCAGCTCGACCACGATCTTTCATATCGCCCCTGCTGCTCGGCCTTCACAGACGGTATGGCTCGAAGTTGCTGTTAGACATTCTTTCGTAGCTCGGAGTTTGCTCGACATACAAGATTGTCGTCAATTATGAGACTTCGATAGCTGATAATGTATCACCTTCATTAGATGACGGAGCTTACGTTCATTATGTTTTCGACAACGTGGATTACAACGTTAAAACACTTTATGGACATGGTACTCTTCACGCCATGGGTGGCATTGAGTGCATAACACCAGCCGAAATGTGTCAATGCAAGTGCTCCTGTACCACGATCAGCAAAAGCATCCCAAAATCCCTGTACATCCCAAAAGCAAAAAGTGTCCTTCTATCTCATGGCTTTCAGCCAGTGACACCTTACCAACGTCCGCCTAAGCCTGTGACATCTTTAGTAGTGTTGGGAGATGTCAGTACAGCCCTTTCCGAACAAAAAATAGTTGTAGATGCTTGTCTTGCTGACACCATATGGCTCATTAACTACCAACTGAGACAAGACTACAAGATCTCGCCACTCATCCTACACTCATCCTTCACTCATATTTGGTTAAAATACGCACAAACCAAGTCCATGTTGAAATGGATTCTTGGATACAGTACAACTTATGGAACCTTATGGTCTTAATTGTACCACGATGCATGGATACTGCACTGGACACGGATGTGCCAACCGCGCTAGTTACAAAGAAGATTACATCACCGTCAATATTATTTAACAGCGAGTAGTTACATTGTAAGTTTATATGCAATATTAAAATATAATGGTAATCCATTATAGCAACTAGATGATTCTATTTTTCAGATCAGAACATACAAAATTATTAATTGCTTTTTCATAATTTATTTTTAACTTCATTGTTAAATTGTTGCTTTTCTAGGCAAGATTATATTTCCTGTTACCGATGTTGCTCTGCTCCTGCCATAGATTTAAGTTAGTTAAGTTTTCTGTTAAAATGCATGTTGTTACTACTTAGGCTTCTTGAATCCACATTGTAAATTAGTGATCTTGCTGTTGGAATAAATAAATAAATAAATAGCAAATTAAAGCATCTATGTGAATAAAAAGTCAATACCCCCCTCTCTAATATTTTCTAAGTTAATATACAGAGATGTCCTTTTGGGTGGTCGTCCAATCTTAGCAGGGAGTATTATTTTATGATTTTAAAATTTTTAAATATTCCCCAAAAAGGGGGGATTTTGGGGGAAACTCAAAAATTTAAACGTAAACCCCCTTCAAGTGACATCTCATTTTAATGTGATTACAAAAACTTTATGAATGGTGAAAACCAGAGTTTCCAATTTATCTTTATTAAAAATGGTAGCCCGTCAAACGTTATGGAACATCAATGGTAATATTGGTTCGTAATTGTAATAGTGGCTACCATTTTGGACAGAGGAGAGTACTCAAATATTTTAAAATCATAAAATGAAACTTCCTGCTAAGGTTGCATCACCACTAAAAGGATTACTCTGTAATATTTACTTAGGAACAAATTAGAGGGGGGGGATTACTTTTTACTACACAAGAAAATTAATGTGTAGTAAGTTCCCATTTAATATCGTCATTAAACTTTTGACGGGCTACCATTTTGGATAGAGAAGATATAGCGAACTCTGGTTTTCACCATTCTTTTTGTAGTTTTTGTAAACACAAGTTTTTGTAAACACTTCAAGATGAGGTGTCACTTGAATAGGACTATACTTTAAAATTTTTGAGTTGTCCTCAAAATCTCTTTTTTTTGGGGGGGGGACACTCAAAAATTTCAAAATCATCAAATGAAATTTCCTACTATGGTTTCAACAACACCAAAAGGATATTTCTGTATATTTACTTAGAAAATTATTAGAGGGGGGGGGGTGTCTTGACTTTTTATTCACCCCTTATTTAACCAATTCCAAAGACTAAACATAGTGAATTGCAAGAAATATCAAAGGGTTAATGTCTTTAACAAGTCCACTAAGAACAAAAGAGAAAAAGCTTCATTTTTTAAATATTTTGTAAATTTATATGATTTTTATAGATATATTTTTAGGTTAATATAAATAATATTTATGCTTAGAACGTATTAAACTCTTTAATTATATACTACCCTCATACATGAGTTCAAAACGCTTAATTTGAGACATAAATGATGCCTTCCGGACTATTACTTCAAAAAATACAGCAAAAAATCTAATTTTCCAAGATGGCGGCAGTTTTTTCAAGATGGCAGCCGTTCCCCAACTGGGATTTTTTGGGACTTTGTGTGGGCCACTCAGGACATTGTTCTGAACGTTTTCACCAATTTTCAGCCTGTTATCAATTTTGTCCGGGTCAAGGTCATTTTTTGTCTAATTGCACTGGACTAATAGCTCTTTTGTAATAACCTTTGCTGAGAGACTGGTTTTTTTGCTGGTTTGTTTTCAATTTCTATTTACTCACAGTCATGTGCTTTAATTGTTTACAAATGAAATCAAGTTTTTTCATAATAAAACTAGCTCATTTATTGTGTAGAAGTTGTTGAAAGGCATTTGGAGGAAAAATCTCTTGGCTTAGGAATACAAGGTAAATTAAGGAAGAAGGAATTGGATACCCAACTAACTAGTAAATTAGTCTTAAGTATAAGATGATCAGAAATCAGTGATCAGAAAATGATGTGTTGGTAGGACTGATTTACTTAGTTAAAGTGATCAGAAAATGATGTGTTGGTAGGACTGATTTACTTAGTTAAATTCGTGACAGTTTTGTAACTGACATTTTATTTCTTTCTTCTGAAGAAGCCCTTTGTATGGGCGAAATATCAAGTGAGTTTATTGTGTGATGAACTTTCTTTGTGGTTTCAACTACCTAGGACTCTTTTCTTAGGTAAGTTAGTTGTGTATCCATTCCATCTTCCTTAACTGATAGTGTTACGAAAAATTTGATTTTGTCCGTAACACCAACTGAAGAAACCCCTAGACAATAACAAAAAATTGTCATGGGTATTGAGTTTTGACTATTTAATTTTACCGCAAAACTTCGACAGGGGTTATAACAACCAATCAGCCCTTTAAGACTTGTTTGACAGTTTTGCTAATTCACTAATGAGGAGGACACTCCCCACACTTGTAGACTTCTCATTGCTCAGAAGACAATATTTATTATCATTGTAAAATGTATATCAAATGCTAGATATTGTTATATTATCCTGTTTAGAATTATGCCCAAAGTATGTTTATTCGCAAAAGCCTTGTTTCAGACTTAAAGGATACCTTAGCTAAAATTGCTAAAATACCTAGTTTTATATGAACGTGTTGATCAGGTACGAAAGAACTTCAAATTCAACCTAAACAATTATCAAACACATTTTATAAGTGAGACATCAAATAAACCGCAATGTTTTTTCCAGGGGTTTGTAGAGTTTCTGCACGTTCTACAGACAACGGTGGAGGGTAGTCTGTTGAAGCAAGCAGCCCGAGCATCACGCACGCCCGCGTGGACACTGATGGAGCCGCAACTGAGGCACAAGATACAGGATGCTGCTTGTCTCGTCATTGTGCCTGGAGATGACAGACGACGGGCTCGGCATCTCAATAAGGTACATAGATAATTAAGTAGGCATCCCATATGGACCAGCCTTAGCAAATTTCCTATTCAATTACAACATAGTTTAGCCAGTGTAAACAATAATTCTCCATTATCAGGAATTTACACCAGCCTAACACACACTGTCAGTGGTTTAATCCTCTAAATTGGTCACAGCTTTAACACGGGAATGGTTTGTACACTGTACTGCAAACAATTGTCAAAGGTATGAAAGTGAATCTGTACCCCCAGCAAGGTATTTCCTACAGCAACACCTGTTTATATAAATATGTAGGCTAATTAGTTTGTTAGAAAGATTTTTGAACATTTTGAAGGTTGAAACATTTTTGAAAGATGATCCCTGAGGGACACCAACGTCTATGTTTTTTTTCCCAGAGATAACTCATTTTTGAAACCCATATGTTTTGTAGATGTGTTGGGAATCAAACTCGTCCCTCCTACACCGAAGTCCGAGATGCTAACAACTATGCTAGCAACACAATCACCATGATTTTTGTATACAACTTTGATTTGTAATGTTAGTTTTCCCATAAAAAACAGCCCAAATTAACAAATCTTTCTAATTGTATAGTTTGGTTTTGTTCAAGGAAAAGCTCTAGGCCAGCATTTTGAAGTGTAGAAAAGCAGTAGGATAGCAGCTAGCTTGCCTTGAAGAAGTGTTGTTAGGCCACATAGAACATACAGAACATACACCGTGCACACAATATTTCGTCACCAGAGGGAGTGTAGAGCTCTACACTAATAATATTGTTTGCACTATATTTGTTTGCACAATATTACACTAATATTGTTTGAAATATTGTTTGCACAGTGTATGTTCTATGTGGCCTATCTACACTTCTTCAAGGTAAGCTTGGAGGTATAGTTTGTTTACATATTGCTTAACTAGATTCTTCAAATGTTTATTTTCTATTCCAGAGAGCAGAGAGTTCCAGTAACAGCAAGCAGTCAGCTGATCTATTAAAGCCAGCGGCCATTGGTGAAACAGCAACCAAGAAGAATCCCCAGTCATCACGGTCTGTACCCAGTGTAAAGCCGAAGACACCACAGCCAGCTGTGAAATCAGAGAGCACTGGGCCTCGCCCGAAAACATGGCCTTATAAAATATCTGAGGTTTGTAAATTTTTGTGTAGTGGTATGTGACAGAATTGTGTTATTGTAGATAAATCTGTTAGTTCAATCATGTTCAACGATGTGTGAGTCGACCATCAAACATAAGACTTAAAATGTTGAAGTTGGAGTCGCATTTTCCCTTATTTTGCCAACTGCTAACTGTAATTCCTTAAAAGAAAAAAAAAATCCATCAATCAACCCCTAACAGTGGCAGTGTTGCAGGACCAAAACTACTGTACAGACTTGTTTTCTAGGATGCTAGGCACAAACCTGGAATTGTTTTTCACATTACTTCAGGCTAGACCTAGGGGTTGCGGCATTATCACTTAAATAAAATCCGTTGGTGATATGGCGGGATTTTAACCCTGGACATCACATACCAAAGTCCCGCGCTCTACCACTGTATAGATTACCAACCTTCCAGTTGGGGATTGTTTTGACAATGATCATGTGACTAAATGGGGTGTTAAAATTATGATGTAAATAATGCCCTCACTTTCTTGGGTTTGAAAGGTTTTTCTAGCTAGAATTTTAAATATTTAATAACCTTTAAGTAATTGGTGCAATAGATGCATATTCATTTGAAATATATATTTAAGTACGGTAATTAAACAAGCACAATTTTTGCTATAGAGTAATTGATTTTATGTTTTTGTATTTTAAGCTTTTTGCAAAGATACATTTTATACCAGGTCTGTTTGCATTCTCAGTGTAGTTGGATAAAACATAAATACTTTTGTTTGAATATAGAATAAAATTCTTGTAAAGTAGAACAATATACTCAGCAATAAGCAGATTTAAAATACACTTCTCCACTTGCAGGTAAAATCCAGATACCTCGAACCAAAGCAAACGCCGAAACAATCGCCAGCATTAGCGGCTAACAAGACAGACAAGCCGACGCTGACTCCAACTGCAAGGAGAAACGTAAGTAAGTCTATCATCTCATCTTCGGACTCCTCGAGAACATCTTCACCAGCCATGAGACGCTCTTTGCCTCAGCGGCCGTCTCGCAATGTGACCAAGAAGGACGACAATCTCACAATGTCCACCGACTCCCTGGCAGATCCTAACTCTGCATCTAGTGCCGGCTCCAAGAAGAAAGCCGACCCAGCTGTCAAAACACAAGCTATCTCACGAATAGACTTTATCGAGAAAAACGTTCGCTCTCTCTCGCTTAAGTCTTCAAAGGTGGGGACTTCTGCGAATCGTGTTGCTTCGAGCGATTCTAAAGGAAGGTTCCCACAAGTAAAGATCGAAAATGACAAACCAAAGTACTCTCCTGTCGCTGTGAGTAAGAAAGGCAGTAGTCAAAGTTCCCCTCATGTGAAGGACTCGCCAGTCTCGCTGAATAAAGGAACGGTGAATTCAACACCGTCGCCATCGGTTCGGCGAAGCGTTCTGTCTCCCAAAGAGAAGTCTAGTGTGACCGCAGAAACAAAGTCTACTATGTTGAAAAGAAACGCGACGTATCGAGTTCAAGCAAAGTCGTCGAGTCCTGTGAAGGGAGCAAATACGAAGCAAAAGGAAATCTTGTCTGTAGTAGCTGCTTCACCAAATACAAAAGGGAATATTAATAAATTACAAACAAAAGTAAACAGCTCGAAGAAGTCCGGGATGAACAATAACAATGCAGGTTACAACAAGACTGAAGCTCCGCCTCGGCCCATGGTAGGGTCCAGGTCGGGAACTTTTCTGAAGGATGAACCGACTGTTCTTAAAAAGCCGCAGGTAGCAAATGTGTCAGAATGAATGTGGTTAGTATTAAAATTATCTTTATCAAGTTTATCGCTAGTCAGTGTGCCATTGAAGGCTTGAATTATTTTCATTAGCTGTAGAATACTTTAAAATATTTGTAGTGCAGTATAACGCTGTGTAGGTATCCACAATTCATCACTTTGGTCCAGTATTATTATCTTCGTTTGGAAAAAAATGATTGTGTTTCAGGTTTCAGTAAATCTTAAAATCGTGAAACTTCATTTAGTTTTCATTTCTCGTAAACACTTTAGGCAATATTGAAGCAACAGCCATACACTACAAAGTTACCAAAGATTTTTGTGTTTAATGTTTTTGTTATTTGTTTCACGTTACTAGAATATAATTTAAAATTGTTGTTTTTGTATTATTTATTATATTTTGTACATTATTGATGATAAGTAAGATGAGTATTGTGAGATGTAAGATCATTATGTGTTTTGTTTCTAGGCGTTAAATCATAAATGGGTAAATAAAGGTGGAATGTGAATATTATGTATATTAAGAAAGATGTATTAATGCTTTGAAACTTTAAAAAATAAATTGCCTGAACTGTTCTTGCCTGTTGCGATTGGTTGTAACTTATTTTGGCAGGTAAAGGTTCAAATTAGATGAATTCAGTAATTATGTCTTGTGCAATATTTACTTTTCCAAGAATTAATTTTTCCGCCCAATGAAAATGGTTGTATTTTTAAAATCAAACAGTTATGCTCCTTCAACATTTTAAACTAATTACATTTTACTCTGTTTGTTTACATACATTTCAAATAGAAACATAAACTTTTACCGTTTTCTTATACTTGCATAAATGTTTACAAAATCACAAGTTGTAGCTATCCATGGTGACAATGAGACTTTTACTATTTTTATTAAGATGCACTATATTCAAAAGAGCTTCGGGGAAACCATAACCGTTTGTTTCTTTCGGTTTTACAAACTAATCGCAGCTTCACGTTTTGTCACCCTGATTAATATTTTTTATGTGTTTTTGCTCAAGTATAAAATTAATTTTACATTTCCTTTTGTCTTCATTTTCACTGGTACAGATTGATTTTCAAATTACTAATACTCTAAATTACTTCAAGTCTCAATTGAACAGAAATACCTAAAGTTGAAATGTAAAAATCGTCACTGAATTTTAGTAGAATTTCAAAACACAAACTTACTAGTAATTGTATTTTTTTTAATCCATTTGGTAGACAGAAGTTTTTTTAAGGAATGGAGTTAAGCTTGGTTTTAACTGAAAAAAAAAAAATAATGTCCAGCGGTTTATTGAAGTGCAAAAAAGGACACATAAAATAGTATATTTTATATATTTAATCAATCATCTTATTAAACACATCAACAACAATTAACAACAATACACTCTCAGACTTGGACACAATGTTATGTCCTATGATCAGTAAATCATTCTGTTTAAGATTCAGACTGGAGTATAAAAGGCACTAAGTATGAAAATAATAGTACTCAGTAATCATTGGCTCTGTTGAGCGCATTTGCAAAAATGTTCAGTTTTTAAGAGAGAGAAAAAAACAACTTAACAACAAAATAGACAACTGTATTTTAAAGGATACAGCAACTTGTGTTAGGCTGGGGCCACACTCATCTTATCTCACTGAATTTTTTCCACGGGCGTTACCCGTGGGTTTGAGAGATACATTACGGTATATGGGGCAGGCCACACTAGAGTAAAAACGTCCGTGAACGCGTTTGTCAGTCTCGCTGGTGCAAACGGAATTGCACGTGTATTCTCTACTAACATTCCACGGGCGTTGCACGTAAAACTAGTCGCGGGGCATTGCGGCTTATGGGAGTGAACACACTTGTTTTATCTCGCTGAATTGTTTCCACGGACGTTTCTATACTGTACAGTGAGCGTGGAGGGGAGGGGGGCGGAACACGGATTTGGACGATTTTTATTGCCAGTGTGGCATGCTCTATCAGTCTCACTGGTTTGCCCGAAAAACCTATCTCGTAAGACGAGTGTGGCCACGGTCAAACTGTTTCACGTGCGTCGTACGTGAAAACGAAAAAAAACCGTCTCGCTGGTTAAAAATTATAAGTGTGGCCTCGGCCTTAAACTACCAAGCCAAAGAAATTGTTCTTTCAAGTTTTGTCATTGTTAGAATGAAAAAAATAGGTTGATATAATATTTTTTACTAATTTTGCGATCAAATAAATATGTGTATAAATATGAACAAATTATGGTAATTTTCTAAATTTGAAATTTCTCCTCAGGCCTATATGCCTTTATCAGTGCTTGTAAGTAACTTGTTAGCTCAGAATTCTAGTTCCTATTTTATCATCAAAATTGTGAAAGTGTTGAAAAATAACTCGATGAATAAGTTATTAATTGCTATTAGGCTAAACAAAACGTTTTCAGAATTTTCTTATAATTCTTGCCTACATGCAACAGTAGCATAGAAGTTTAAGGGGATTTTTTTATTTGAGCTGATCCAACCATTGATGATATGGAGGAAATGGTTTTACAGAAATTTGTTTTTTTTATCAATTTCAATTTTTTTAAATCTTGTCTATTCAACTTCACTAGTGCTTTAATATGAACAATATAGTGAGGCTTTTAGTTGAATAGTTTTGTGTAAAAAAGTGTTGTGATTTCGTATATATATAATATTTTTTCTAATCTGATCATTTATTAATTCACAAACCCAATCCCTTATTATATTATACAATTTAAAACCCACTCGTTAGGCCCCGTCCTAGCTGAAAGGCAAGAGTGACGTGACCGACAGATACAAACACATGGTAAGTAATGGGAGTGTCCTAGCTATGCAGCAAGAACGGCTTACATTTGCTACAAGCGCTTCAAGATACAAACATGTTTATATTTGGTAGCGTTACACCGGGGACACAACATAGCGTCATCTACCACAGCTGCCTCAGCCCGTGCCTTGTCGCCTTGTTGCAGTTGTCGCGCCCCTCAGTGTGGACACACATTTTGTCGCCGACAGCAGCGATTGTTGGTCGCGTCGCTTTTGCCATCCAGCTAGGACGGGGCCTTATACTACGAATTGAGCTGCTTTACCAAAAAGTCTTGACTATTATTTTTCATTATTTTATTGTGATATTATTTTTTGTGATTAATTTGTGCATTTTCTATAGCTATAATAATACAGATAGTAGGTTTTCACTGTGTTTAAAGTATTTTACTAGTCACCTATCCTTTATCATAACATTCCTCTATCTTTATTACTTGGACTGATATGTACTTAATGTATTTTATGTTGCGTTTATATTAAGCTACATTTTTATATTTGTTAAATAATTTCTGAATGTCTTTAAATTTTGTACAGGATTTGTAAATAATCTTGCTTTATAAATAAAAGAGTTATCGTTCATTGCTTCACTACTTAATTCTTCACCTACACACCAATTAGAGTAGCTGTGATGGTAATTAGCCAATATTCTAGATATCAAAAAATAAAAATAAAATATTCTATGTCCTTAAACTTAGCAAAAACCAAAAACAATAAAAACAATTAATAATTAATGTCACTAGTCTTAGATATGTTAGATGTCTACAAAAATATTTGTCGAGGTTAAACCTTTTAGTGGTAAAATTGTATATCTAGATCTAATTCCTGGTTGTACTGTTTTAAATTTTAAACATCTTATACCTACAGTACTTAAATATGCTTTTTTAAGGACTAATGACATAGAGGCAGCCTTTTGATCATTTTATCATATACATTATTTATAACATTTTGAGACAAACTTATGTTAGTAAAAAACATAATTTAGCTGCCATTGCTTATTGTATTGTGATTATTGTCATCACTCTAATCTAAAGTTTTGTGTTAACTTAGAAGATGAGCATAATATTACTTTGGCAAAAGAAACCATTTCTGCTGTGAAAAGAGATATGAGATGTCTTTTGAACATTTGAAAACATCATAGGGTATAGTGAAGGAAGTTAAAATTCCCTACTCCATGACAAATTTCCCAGACTCCAGTATAAATGTCATGAGTAAAAAAGTTGGAGAGCACTTTTTCACCTCAAATTAGTTAACGAATATCGAAACTGGAAAATCGATACTTTTACCGCTCGATTGTTTTAGAGTAATTGAATCGGAATCAGAGTAAATATTATTGGTTTGACTGAGACTGACTAAGAAGTTTTACAAAACTCAATGGCTTTAATTTTAACTTTCAATAGGCTATTAAATTTTAAAATATAAGTTAAACCTTTTAAGTGGTGGGCCTCTTATAAAATAGACCCCTTGAGCTGAATAAATTGATACTAAATAAGTTACTGTTACATTCAATTCAATGCTCTTGAGTAGATACTATAATCATATCGACCTCCAGACAAAAAATAAGATTAATGAAGGAATCAGGAATAAAATTTCTAAGAACTGTGAGCAAGGTCATAATTTTGTAATTTTTAATTCATCATTATGCTTTAAAATTAGTCTTAAGAGTTAGAAAAGAGTAAATTACACACCCTCTCAGGAAGGAGGGGAATTTTGGCATTTTTTACAAGAGCTGGGTTGATACTAACAATAATAATACAAATTAGGTAATAGAAATGGCCTCCATCTGGTGATATTCAGTTTTTTATTAAAACAAATTTTGGTCAATGAACATAACCTTAGCAATAAGCTTTTCCACTGTTGACATTGAATTTTATTCCCATTACTATCTACTGATAAATAGAAACTGAAGAAGAATTTGTTCGTAAGGTATTAACAAATTTATGTATTCTCTTAAAATTGACATTATGTCTCTAGGCGCTACAATTCTAATGATCTACCACTACCATTAAGTCAAACTGTCAAGTCCATTCAAGTCAAAGGAGAACGGGAAAGGATACAATTACTGTGTGTATCGAGTGGACTATCGATAGCGCGATGTACTAAATTCTAAAAACAATCGAGCTGTAAAAGTATCGATTTTCCAGTTTCGATATTCGTCAACTAATTTGAGGTGAAAAAGTGCCTACCAAAAAAGTTATCATTGGGCATTGGGCACGAAAGGGCTAATATGCTCATTTATGAGGTGTCAGCTCTGTGGATTACCTGACAGTATGGAATGTGATTTAACAATAATTAAATTTTATAAATGAAAATGATAATTTAACAAAGAATAAATTATATGAACCAACAACAATATACTGATGACAGAAATTAAGATAACAATTTATAAGAAAATAAAAATTGCAACAAACGTTTTTTTATTCGTACATACGGCAATCGCCATTTTACAAAATATGTTTGATTAAGTATACAGAATATTATGATACATTTTTCTTTCAAAGCCGCTTACATGCAATAATAACAACTATAGATTCAATAATTTAAGTTGATTCAGTTGCAGGTGCAATTAATATGACACACAAATAACACAAAAATAGAGCATCAAAGACAAAATGAACAAAGTGAATTTAAACGCAGTAATAATATAGTTCATGCTACATGCTATGGAAATCATAATATGAAATAATATAGTTCATAGTAACGTTGATGGACGATTAAAATATTGTTGTGTCTAAATTAAATAAACTTTAAGCGTTTGAGAAATATATTTTAACATTGTAAAAAGTAGGCTACAAACACTAAAACAAAACATTAAAATGTACAACTGACTCACACAGAAAAACAATAAATAATTAACCAATCAGCTGGTATTAAAACCTAGGAAAATAGAATATTGTTAGTTGACACTAGATTGAATATATATCAACTCTCCCCTCTTAATTCTTAGGAAGGATCTGGTCAGTGTGTCTGGTCCATATCAATCCATTGTCCATTTTTATTCTGTACATGACGTTGCCCACTCGACTGATGATCTCTCCTAACCTCCACTTTTCTTTGGATGTATAGTTCCTTGCTTGCACCTTTTGTCCCACACTGAACTGTCTTCCAATCTTCCTTTGTTCTTTGACGCTAAACCTTTCTGTTTTATCTGACATGACGTTTAGTTTAGTTCTGATGTCTCTGCCAAACATCATCTTGTATGCAGACATTCCAGTTGTAGAGCTTGGTGCCTTCCTCAGCTGTGTGACTAATGCGTCGATCTTAGTTTGTATGTCACCTCTCTCCCCCACCATTGAATTTAGCCCCTTCTTCACTGTTTGTACGAATCTTTCTGCTTGTCCATTGCTAGAAGGATGAAATGGTGCGCATGTTCTCTGACAAATTCCATTTTCTTTCAAATAGTTTTGAAAAGCTGTGCTGGTGAATTGTGTCCCGTTGTCTGTAACGACTGTCACTGGAAGACCGAACGTTGTAAATAGATGTTGTAACTTTTTGATACACCATTCTGCTGTTGTCGATTTTGTATGCAATATTTCTAGCCATTTAGTATGGGCATCAATGATGACTAGGAAGTAATTTCCATTCATGGGCCCAAGGAAATCTAAGTGTATTCTCTCCCATGGTCCAGATGGTTCTTCCCAAGGGTGATTCCTATCTTTTGGAGGTTCATTTCTCTTCTGGGAACATATCTTACAGTTTCTGACCAACTCTTCAATGTCTCTGTCCACATTCTTCCAGTACAAATAGCTTCTTGCCATTGCTTTCATTTTTGTCATCCCAAGGTGGCCCACGTGTAGTTCTTTGAGTACTTCTTTCTGAAGAGTTGAAGGTATCACAACCCTTATACCTCGAAAAACACATCCTTTGTGTAATGTGTACTCGTTGTTGTTTAGTCCCATTGTCTCAAGATCATCTCCATTTTCAAGGGCTGTCTTGACTTTAGAGAAAAATGTATCCTTCTTTGTATGTTCTGCAATTGTCTCTTTGGTAAGTGGCAGCATAGATATTTGATTCATCTGAAATTTTGAATAGAGATCTTCACCTTCTTCTAACTTTTCTACTGGGAATCTTGAAAGAAAATCTGCATTGGAGTGGTCTGAAGTTTTTCTGTATTCTATTTTATAGTCAAAACCAGCAAGGAAAAGAGCGTAATTTAACAAACGTGTAGCTGACATTGCAGGTAGGGATTTTGAAGGATGAAAAATAGATACAAGAGGTTTGTGGTCTGTGACAAGAATGAATTTTCTGCCATAGCAGTATGGAAAGAACTTTTTCACACCCCAATAAATGGCAGTCGCTTCTTTGTCAATTTGACTGTATTGATTCTCACTTTTACTTAGTGACCTAGATGCAAAGGCAATTGGCTTTTCTGTTCCATCTTTTAGCCGGTGTGAAATTACAGCTCCTAAGCCAGTTGGTGATGCATCTGTTGACAGTATTAAAGGTAATGACGGATTGTAATGGATTAGAGTTTCATCTTTGGCAATATCCAATTTAACAGATTCAAAACTTCTTTCACATTCATCAGTCCATTCAAATTTCTTGCCCTTCTGTAAGAGTTTGTTCAATGGGTTTAGTTTCTCTGCCAGTTTGGGTATGAACTTATTGTAGTAGTTTGCCAAACCTATGAAAGAACGTAATTGGTTGACATCACGAGGTCGCTTTGCTTCAACAATTGCTTTTACCTTTTCAGACCCCTTTTGAAGTCCATTTTCATCAATTGTATGACCTAAGTAAGCAATCCTTTTCTGAAAGAATTTACATTTTTCAAAATTCAATCTAAGGTCATGTTCCCTTATTTTATCAAGGACTAGCTTCAATCTTTGCACAGTTTCTTCATAATTCGATCCTTGTATGATAATGTCGTCAAAGAAGCATTTAACACCGCTAATTCCTTGTAGTATTCTGTCCATGAACCTTTGCCATACTGATGGTGCTACTTTAACCCCAAACATCATCCTGTTGACTTTGTAAAGACCTTTTTCAGTACTTATAGTTTGCAAATTTGAACTTTCCTCGTCCATTTGCATGTGCAGGTAAGCATTGCTTATGTCCAATGTACAAAATAGCTTCCCGCCATTCATTTCCGCGAAAATGTCCTCTATCCTAGGTATTGGATGTTTGTCGTCTTGTATCACCTTATTCAGTGTAGTTTTATAGTCTGCACATATTCTTACAGATCCATTGGGTTTAACCACTGGGACAATTGGCATTCCCCACTGAGCATTGTTCACCTTAGTGATTATACCGGCATTCTCTAGTCGATTGAGTTCGTCTTCTACTTTTCCTTTAAGTGAGTATGGAACTTGTCTGGGTTTGATGAAAATGGGCTCGCAACCTTCTTGAAGGGATAAATGAACCTTCTCGTTCGGAATACATCCAATTTCCTTTTTGAAAACATCAGAGAATTCTGTAAGGAGTTTAGAAAGATCACACGAGTTTTCTTGAATAGTTCTGATATCTCCAATTTTTAAGTTAATCTCCCTAAGCCACTCTCTTCCGAAAATAGGTTCAACATTTTGTCCAATTACATACAGCTTGCCAAAGTATGCTTTGTCTTTGAAGCTAAACTCGACATACACTACCCCCTTTGGTTTTATAAGTTCGCCCGTGTAAGTTCTTAGTTGTACGTGAGTTTGAAATAGTTTTTTACTCAAATTTAGTTTCTTATAATCCTTGTATGATATCGACGATAAAGCTGCTCCTGTGTCCAATTCCATTTGAATTGGTTTTCCTTCTAATGTAACTTCAACCATGAACTTGTCAGAACCATTCATTTGTATCTTATATGTGTCGTACGTTGCGTGATCAATATCATTTAAATTTTCACTGTCCTCGATCTGGTTGATATGCCTAGCTCTGTTCTTTGCCATGCAGACCCTGGCTAAGTGACCAACCTTATTACAAGAATTGCAGAATCTAAATACTATAATCCCGCATATGTAACTAAGGGATACAAATTCTAGACCACTTCTAGATGAGCTAGAGACTTGAAATTTTCGGTGGTCGTAGGTCTAGTGCCCAAACCCCCGGGAAAAATCCGAAAAGTCCCATTTTCAAATTTTAACCCCCCCGAAATTTCGAATTTCCCCCCCCATGTTATTCTTATGGGAAATAACATTGAAAAATACCGAATTTGGTACTCTCATATGAACCGCTTAGAAACGTGCTAAGACTTCAAATTTGCGTAGTATTGTAGTATGAGATCTTTTATTACCGGTGGAATTTGCAAAAGTCCCATTTTCAAATTTTAACCTCCTCAAAAATCCAAAATGGCGGACCTATGAAAACGAAAAAAACACTGTTTTTTCAACCGGATGTAGCTGGAAAACGGTAAGAGCTAGAAAAGATTTGAAAGTATATCCAGGAACAGGAATTAAATTTTCTACAAAACCCTCTTGGGTGTTTTCTGAAAATCGCACTCCTTCAGCTTCAAAAACGCCCTACTTTCAAAATTTGGTAAATTTTTATTACATTTTTACCGGTTTTCGCCATGTTTTCATACTTAAATATTATTATTGCTTTGTATTCTCCTTACTTTACTTTAAATTTTACTCATTACATGTTTTTTCGTAACTTTACTCCTTGACCCCCAAAACTTAATTTTAATCTCTAAATTTGAAGGTTTTCTGCCACTTTTACGAGCCCCGTGTTATTCTTATGGAGAATAAGATTGAAATATAATGACTTTGGTATGGCCATATGAATTGTTAGAAATGTGCTAGAGACTTGTAATTTGGTAGTATTGTAGTAAGGGATCATAAGCTAATGGTGAAATTTTCAAAAGTCCCATTTTCAAATTTTAACCCCCCCCCCCAAAATCCAAAATGGCGGACCTCTGAAAACGATAAAACACGTTTTTTTCAAACGGATTTAGCTCGAAAATAGTAAGAGCTAGAAAAGATTTGAAAGTATATCCAGGAACAGGAATTAAATTTTCTACAAAGTCCTCATAGGTGTTTTCCGAAAATCGCACTCTTTCGGGTTCAAAAAACTCCCTACTTTCAAAATTTGGTAAATTTCTTTCAACTTTTTACCGGTTTTCGCTATTTTTTCATACTTAAATCATTCCTTTTTGCAAATATTATTATTGCTTTGTATTCTCCTTACTTTAATTTAAATTTTACACGGTACGTGTTTTTTTCGTAACTTCACTCCTTAACCCCCAAAACTTAGGTTTAATGTCAACATTTGAAAGTTTTTACGAGCCCCATGTTATTCTTATGGAGAACACATTTACCCCATAAAAACCACCATAAGTCCCCGTTCCCATGGTCCGTTCATGCTATAGATTTACTCTGGTTTACTTAAGGTTTTATCCCCCATCGTATTTACAACCCCCACCCCCCAAATATTAAATCCCCCCAATGTTATTCTTACAGGTGCATAAATCTAAATCTAAATAAGTCTAAATCACGTTTACACATTTCTAGATTAACTGGATATCTGAAATTTTGAATGATTGTAGATCTTGCGCCCTTTCCGAAAAGTGACATTTTACAAATATAACACCCACCCCCACGAAATATAGAATCCCCCCCCCCAATGTTATTCCTACAGGTCCATCGGTCAAAATCAATTTTACCCACTTCTAAAATAGCTAAAGATCTTAAATTTGGCTCAATTGCAGGTCTTGCGCCATGGCCCATTTCTATTTACCCCCAACCAAAAAAGGGGGCCTGGGGGCGGAGCCCCCAGCGAGCCAAAGGCGAGTTCATCCTTATACCTGCAACTATCAGCTTTATGGAACTTATCCCCGCATCGATAGCATCGACCACGCAGTTGGTCAAATGTAGAGTGAACAGTATGATATCTTTCGGTCTTCTTGGTTGGTCCTTTGCTTGCATATTGTTGTTGTTCCGGCTTCTTTCTTTCAGTGCTTCCTGTTAGCTTAAGAACAGCAGCTGTTGTAGGATTTGATATAATGCTGCTCTCAAGTCTCGAGGATTCAAAGGAAATTGCAGCTTGCACTGAATCTTTGAAAGTACTTGTTTCTTTCTGTAGTAACTGCCCTCTTACATCATTATCTTTAAGTCCTCTAACAAACTGCATTCTTAGTAACATGTCTGATACAGATTTCTCACATTCACATTGAAAGCGACAATCCTTTGCTAGTCTCTTCAGTTCCATTGAAAAATCCATCGTTGATTCGTCTTGCTGAACATGGCACAAAAATTTGTGTTGAAGAGATATAACACTAGGTAACGGTTCCAAATAATCCTTCAATACTGTTACCACATTTTTGTAATCCATTTTGTATGGATCATCTGGAGAAACCAGGTCTTGAAGCTGTTCATGTAGTTTTGGTGGAAGCACTGCAAGTAATGTGCAAAGTTTTATTTTATCGTCAGAAATTTCATTCAAGGAAATAAAGTTTTCAAATCTTTTGATAAAGTTTGTAAATGATTCTCCTTCGTCGAATGGAACAAAAGCAATATTTGATGTAACAGATGGGTGTGAACCTACCGAAGACTGATTCATAACTGTGGTTGGGGATTGCAGTTTGTTTCTCAACTCCACTTCGGTTGTAATGTACAGCTCTTCAACTTCACTTCTACTAGTTGCTAATTGCTCAATATCTTCTTCATCAACTAAAGATTCAAGTTCAGATTGAGCATTTTCGAATCTGTTCCAATATGTCCGTAATGAGGACAACCGCACTGTGACTTCATCACTACTCATGTCTTCTCTCACAGTTTTATTTTGCACAATTGCATTGTAAGCTTTGCTAATTTGAATTTTGCTTGCAGTTAATACCTTTTTAAGCTTAAGTATTTCACTCATCCTCGTCGCCAATGTTGTGTCTAAATTAAATAAACTTTAAGCGTTTGAGAAATATATTTTAACATTGTAAAAAGTAGGCTACAAACACTAAAACAAAACATTAAAGTGTACGGAATGGGCACACGGGAGGGACTAAGGCTAAAGGTGTAGTGACGTCATATCTCTAGTGGCTAATGTCTTCTCTTGAGGCGACACGATTACCGTAATGAAACGATGCGATTTCAGCGGCGTTCGTGGCATAGCTGGTAGCGTTTCGGATTGGTGTTCAGGAGGTCCCGGGTTCGCATCCCGTTGGCAGCACTAACATTATGTCAACAAATTTTTCATATCAGCAAGTTTGGTTGGTTAGGTTAGGTTATGACAGTTTAATTTTATAATACTAAATTTTAAAATTAATTTTATAATTAATTAAAAATTATAAGTAATCATTAATTAGATTTTTATCTTACATCGTTTTTATATTATCAGCAAGTCTGGTTGGTTAGGTTATGTTATGACAGTTTAATTTTAAGAATTAAAATTCATTTTATAATTTTAAAACAATATTTTATAATTAAAAAGTTAGTTTTATAACTAAAAATAAAAATAAAAAATAATTTAAATTTTTTCAACTTAGTAGTTCTAGCGGCGAACGCTGACACTACAAGATATGTTAGCCTTAGTCCCTCCCGTGTGCCCCACCGTAAAATGTACAACTGACTCACACAGAAAAACAATAAATAATTAACCAATCAGCTAGTATTAAAACCTAGGAAAATAGAATATTGTTAGTTGACACTAGATTGAATATATATCAAATATAAACAACAGTAGACTAGGCTCTGCTAACAAGAGATAGAAACAGTTATAACAAACGTTGATGGACAAATTAAAGGATTAAAAACAATAAAAACTAGGCACTGATCAGAACATCACAATATAACATCTCCAACAGGAAAACATGCATTAAAACCTATTTACAATAGGATGGTATGTCTAGTACAATTTAAAGTCAATAGTTTCACGTCACATGTACAGTATTGAAATCATTTTTAGCGAATTTCCCATATAGGGCATAAGCTATTACCGTAGTACTCACGGTAAGACCTGGACCCAGGACCGATTTTTTTCCGTTTTGATGTCCCTAGAGGTCAAAAACACCATCCGTTCAAATTCATATATATATATATATATATATATTTATATATATATATATATATATATATGTGTGTCCGTTAGCGCGATAACTCGAGCAAAAATGATCCGATTTTGATGAAATTTGGTACAATGGTACAAACGTGTAAACCTACGTTTATTCGAACGAGTTCGCGAACCAGCATGATCGGACCATGGGAACGGGGGTTTATGGGGGCTTTTATGGGGTAAAAATGGGTTTTTCTCATTTTTGACCCAAAAAACATAAAATTTTGCAATTTCTTTCAAAACTATTTTGTAGAGCTTAAAAAAACAAATAATTTAGTATATTGAAGCGTTATAATGCGCCTAATGGTTACGGAGAAAATTCCAAAAAATTGTTAATTTAAAATTCTCATGTTATTCTTATGGAGAATAAGTAAACTGTTGTAGTTTGCTTGTTTATAAACACATATTTTGCGCAAATTTGAAAAATGTTTTTATTTCTTACTAATATTAACATTTTACATAAAAAACACTTTTACCCTCCCTGTTGCAGCAAACCTAAGTATGTTTTAAACTGATTCTATTTAAATAGGGAATAAATGTGATATTTTTAAGGAGACATTTTAGTGTAAATCCATTCAGGGAAATGGAAATTCGCTTAGTCTGCAGGTTTGCTGCGGCGGGGGTATTTTTTCATTTAACCTATGCCTGCAGTATGATGAAAAATAAGTTCACATTAAATTAACACTAACTAATGGAGTTGGTAGCACTGTAAGGCGAATGTAATAATGTAATAGGTTGGCTGGCACGGCTGGCACATGGGTTGGCAGCCATCATCATAGAGTACTGTAGTTTGTAGTAGAAGTAGAGCAGAAGCAGAAAGAAAGAATCAGACTCAGACAGACAATCAGTGAGAGTGAGTCAGTGAGGATCTCTATTATGTGAGACTTGAGAGAGACTTGAGACTGGAGTTAGTGGAGTTGAGTTGGAGACGGAGACTACTGTTTACTGTAGTGTTTGGTGTTTGTAGTGAGAGTGAAGGAAGTAAGTAAGTAATGAATGAGAATGAGTCAGAATGAATAGAATCAAGTATCAGAAGCAGAAGGGAAAGAGATGATGAGGATAGACATCAATCAGATCGAGTGATAAAGATTGAAAGCAAAGACAGGAAGCAGAGAATTAAGAAAAGGCTACCAGGACTTTGTATGTAAACAATTTAACTTAGTTTGTGTTTGTGATTCATTCCGACTTAGACCGAAACCGTGTGTGAAGGATATTAAATTAGGCCTATGCCCAGGCCGAGGATGTTATGTTACTGCTCTTGTGTGTTTGATTGAAAAGAGTAGGTTTAATTGGTCGAAAATGATGTAGGCCTAGGTTTTTGTGTTGATGCCATGTTGTAGGCCTAACATTAAAAGTACACCCATTTTCCAAGGATATTGGCAGGTGAGTAACATTAGGCATGCTTGTCATAAGTGTTAGCTCAATAATAGCCTACAGCTTAAGTTAGGCTGCATAGGGTTGAGGGTTGCCATAATGGTAATGTGTTAAAAAAAAGAGAATTTAACTGGCGGCCCCCACTTTATTTATTTACTAGCTGTTTGCCCATTCTACTTACGGGAATCTTGTAGTAAGTTGAAACCTTATATTCAGAACAGGAGTTGGTTTGCATATTTAGTGTGCATTTTTCCAGATATGCTAGCAAAACTATTACTGTATAGGAATACATATAAGCCTTCGCAAATACAATATCTGACAGTTTCAAAGCCAAAACGAATGCTTCGCAATTAAATGTCACCCGATCGTGTTAGTCCATATTTTATATCTAATGATAAAAGGAATTGCTTTATAGATCTAAGTTATGAGGCATAGCCCTAAGGTAGGCCTGTAATTGAAAGTTACTTTTCACACTGGTTAACCCTTAGAGTGTCAGGCGAGAAATAGAAGTAACGCTCAAAAAATGCCGATGACTTTTCCCGAAGGTCGCGCTAAAAATGCCGAGCGCGATCTGGCGATTTTTAGGTTAAAATTTTGTAAAAATCGAATTTTCGATATTTCGACCAACGAAAATCGATGTATTGCATCTAGTAACTTTCGACTCAATGTTAATATATGGGTTAAAAGAATCCGAGTATCCATTCGGTTGTTAAGTTATGACAACTGTTCGATCATTACGAAACGTCCGGTCGGCCGGACGTCGGCACTTTTGGCTCGTTTTAAAAACGTCCGGTTCCCCGGACGTTGGCACTCAAAGGGTTAAAAGTAGTTAAAAAAACTACCTCAACCTCACTACTGCACACTTTATTTGGGTTGAAATTTTCAATAACAAAGGTGCTCTTGTCTTTTCCAAGAAACACTGAGAAATAAGGACATTAATGCGTTACCAACAGACATACACACACAATAGCAGAATTGAATTAGGGGATTTGCTACGCTTTAACCAAAGCAAATTACAAACAAAATAATTATTTGAAAGTTTTGATAGTGTCATCAAATGTTATGATAATCGTTTTTAGGCCTAATCAAACTGTAAAATTTGTGTAAATCCGTTGGTAAATATATACCTAGGCTAAATAAGTAAATAAATACACAGTCCACAAAAAATTTATTCGTTAACAACGCCAAGCTTTAAAAGTTCATGATGGTTTGCTAAAAAATCTTTCAGTGAGTAATGTTTTATCATTTCATAGCATAAACTAACATTTTTGAGTCCAGACAGAAAACGCAAAAATTATACAGTAGGACATCAATTAAATTTAATAAGAAATAAGGTGCAGCACTAACGATAACTATAGTTGTAAATAGTGATGTGTTTCTACATAAAAATGATTCTTACTGCTACCACCGGTTCTAAGGAAAAGTAGCAGTACCGTACCATAAACCAACGTTTATATTAATTTAAGAAAAGAACTATAGTACTTACAACCAATTCAAACTGTCCTTCTAATCAAACTGTTTTATATAGGTGTTAATCCGTTGGCAAATATATAAATAAATAAATACACAGGCCACAAAACATGTAACATGTAACGTTAACAACGTAAAGCTTTAAAACTCACTATGGTTTGCTAAAAAAAAACTTTCACTTGATGTGGTGCAGTACCGAAGTTATTAATCTCCCTTGGTTTTAAATGTCTTTTAAGTTTTCGAGAATCAAAGTTATTTCCCAATAATAGCATTATTTGTAAGCAACTTTCAATGTTAACATATTAATGACAGTTTGAAGAAACCACCTTTATCCAAACAAAGGTTTCTTATGTAAAAGATTACGTAATCTCTCTCTAAACAATAATTGGTACATAGGCTATATCTAGCAAACATTCGGAGGAAATGTGACAAAAAACGCACAAATCTGGGGTTTTGGACGTTTGTAGTTTTACTTCCTAAGTAGGAAAAGTACTGATATCGTTGTCAAAATGTAAGTAGTAAAAACCAAAAGTGACACATTGGAAAAGCGAGTTTAGCTACATCTGTAAGTTAAACCTCTGTTACGATCACAGCAAAATCAGAAAGATCTTAGAAAGATCGCAGCAACATCCACGATCACCCAGTCACCCACTGCAGTTGTGATTTTTTACTTTGCAATTAGGCTACCACAACTGTCCTTGAAGCGCCGCCAATGAGTGGAAACCTTTTTTGTAAGGCACAACGTTTTTAATCTCACTTGGTTTGGATGTGCTAACAAAACTTGATCGGAAATGGTTGCGGTATTTGTAAACAACTTTTACTGTAAACATATCAGTGACCTAGAAGTGAGAACTAATCCAATCAGCTGATCGTTATTTCATCGAATGTAATAGTAAACATTACGGTAGGAGAAAATTTGACAAAAATCGAACAAAATTGGGTTTTTGATAACACGTTAGGCTATTTTGTTTTCAAAGAAGCGAGGCCAGGTTTTTATAGCCAAAGACACTCTCACCAATCCAGTAAATACAGACAATGATTAGAACCTTGATCGGTACTCTAGTTTTCTAGGAGTAGGCCGCGTAAAATGACATTTTGGCGTTACAGACGCAACCACAGAATGGACAAACAGACATACAGACAGAAATTGAGATAAGACTCGTTTCGTCTTTCTTAGGCTATGAAACGTAAAAATAACCAAAAACTGCATGATTCTAAGCAATGTACAGACAAAACTGTAATTTTATTTATTTAGATGAACGGTTGCACCAGAAAAATGCAATTATTGTCTTACAGAAAGAAGAAAACAAAAATCACAGGCCAGTACAAAAGTAGTGAAAAAAAAACTGGAAAAAAGACTTCAATAACAAGACGCTTAAAATATAAATAGGCCTAACGAAAATAACAACCAAGTATTTAAATAACAAACTATAAGTAACAACTATAAATAACAAACTATCTGAGCAAGTTGACAAAACAATAGATTTGAAAAACAAAACCAGTAGCCTATAGGAACAATAATGATAAGTAGCAATACAGTAAGCCGAGTGAAACTTTAGTAAAAGAGGCAGAACAATCTTGATGAAAACAGATAAAGCTTGCAGAAAAATAACAATATGATATACTCTGTACAAGAACAAGATAACAACAGTAACAATAGGATAGACTATATTAACAAGGCAAATATTTGATATATCAACAATGCGATATCGTGTAATTTTTAGATGTCTACTTACAGTATTTTTCACGCTGAATCCAAAAATGCAATCAGTTTTTGTCGGAGAGATTCATAAGTGGCCGTAAAACGAAGGTTAAAATTACGAATCTATGGTTCATTGAGCTATACTGATGGTAATATGGCGTGGTCTGGATGGGTCGGTATGTGGACTGTGGACTGAGTAAGCAGGAGAGCAAACAGCTGTTTATGCTAGACTTAATGCGGAATTAAATCAATTCGTTTTGAAACCAAATAATCAGTTGGTTCTTATTTAGGCATGTGAGAAGGTAGGTTGGGTTTTATGCGGATTTGTGACTGTATTAAGTGTTTTGAAGTGAGGTTAGATTAGGAAGGTAAAGGTTAGGTCATAATGAACCGACTCATTTAATTTATGCTACTTCCAGACTGGTTTTGCACAATTAAATAGTGGGTGAAACACAATGAAATAACGATATCAAAAATGCACAAGCATTTTTGATATTGTTATTCCATGTCTTGTAGAGAGGCTCCTCGCCAAACCTGGAGACTTAGCAAATTTTCATTTGCATGATTGGATTTTCAATTAAATCAATTTAAATAACATAAGGTTTATCAAGTACCGAGGGTTACTGCTACAGGGAGGAGTGTATTAAAGTTTGTGTTTTTTTAGTAAAATATTACTAGTAGGCCTAGGTAAATTTGCCAAGTTTGATCAAAACTTAAACTATCTATAAACAAGAAAACTACAAGAGTTTACTTATTATCCATAAGAATAACATGAGAATTTTACAATTTACAACTTAGCCTTTACTTATTTTTATCCCATAATCCAATTATGCTAGTCAGCAAACTCTTTTGTACGGAATTTCATGAATATTGCATAATTTTTACTCGAGTTACCGTGCTAAATGGGATACACCGGTGTGTTTGCCCTTTGGGGACCACAAAACGAAAAAGTAAATCGTCCTGTGTCTGTACTGTTCAATAAAATTGCGACCATACATAGTAGGTATTTTAAGCCAAGTATGAATAGAGATGAGTGTAGGATGAGTGGCGCGATCTTGTAGTCTTGTTAGTGACTAAGGCCGACATTCCTTAGACACAGCTGTTAATTAATAGCCCATACAGCTAATGGCAACTAAGAGACCTACAGTTTATAGTGGAATCCGAACCACATTTTTCCTTGCTATATACGAATTGGTCTAATTATCAGGATAGTACTGCGGATAGACGTAGTACTCACTCGTGCGGACGTTAATCCACACTAGAATGCTATTAATTCCTCATTCCCTATATGGGATATTTGCTAAATTCCCTCGGCCTACATAGGAAGTTCACTAAATTAGCTATTTAGGAAATTTGTTGAAAATCTAAAATATGTAAATCGGTCAAGCAACCTTCACCAGGAATCAACTCTTGTGGATTGATCAAAACTATGAGTCACGTTTGTTGCTTCTTCAAGATTGATTTGTCAGTAAAAAAATAAAATTTCTTTTTGTTACTGGGTGATAGGCCGATTGAGATATTTAACTCGTTCGCTGCGAGAATCCCTTTGGCAGTACACGGTCGGAAATGCGACGCAACCTCGGCATGCCATTGAATCAGCAAACGCAATAGCATTAAAATATCAGTCTTGACAGTGGCAAAACAGCGGGAGCTGTGTTACCCCGAGAGTGGACGTAATTCACTGAAAAACTCACAGCTAGCAGCAATAGTGTCTTTGTAATGTGGCTCTAAGAGAGAAAATCCCTGAAAACGGGACAAAAAGTGTCGCCAGACAGGATTTTACGGGAATTTTTACTTCAGATAGTGTCACGGTGCGTGGTGCCTCGCTAGAGCATGCGCACTGAGAGCATTCCCCCACTACGCCTCGATGTACAGTCACGTTCAAATACTGAAGTTGTGAACTAGTATCAGCTGTCAAATTAGTTTGCTTTATGTTTACGTTTTTGTATTTTTTCGGGTTGTCATGGAGACAAAGTTTTGGTAGAGTTGGATGTTTTAAATGGAGAAAGAAGGTTCGTTTTTTTGTTGTTGAGATTTTCAATAAGTAAGTCATAGAAAGCTTTGAAGAGTTGTATTTCCAATTTATATTATTATTTATTATTACAATTTATTTATTATTCGTTTACCCATTTATTTTCCCACAAGTGTGGTTCAAATATAGTTCTCCAGCTCTAGTGTATTTTTGTTAGTGTTCCTGTAAGTTTGTGATTGATTGTGAAGATGGATGTGCCGGTTGAGTTCAAGTCTAAATTGAAAGGGAAAGTGCTAAGAAGTCAGACGCGTGAAGTAATTACGAGTGTTATGAGTTTTATGGAATTGGAGGCTAGGGAATCAAGGTTTACGATTGATCCCAAAAAGGTTAGAGATAGGGTGTCGGCTGCTTGTGGAGTTTCAAAACGGACTTTAACACGGCTATGTACGGAGAAAAGAAAATTGGAAGAAACAAACTCCAGTTTTGAAACCCCTAATAAAAAGAGAAAATTAAGAAGAAAAATTACTGGTCTTGACGATTCTGATGTTGGTGTTGTACGTAGAATTGTAAACACATTTTATTTGACTGAAAAATGCCTTCCAACTCTAAAGAGAATAAAAATAAAATTAGAAAATGATCCAGGATTTGTAGGGTCTACATCCAGTGTAAGGAGAATATTGAAAAATATTGGATACAGATGGAAGAAAACTAAAACCAACAAACATATTCTTATGGAATCGCAAGATGTGGCCTATAAACGATTTGTTTACCTAAAAAAGATTTGAGAGTTTCGAGCAGAAAACCGTCCGATTGTGTTTACAGACAAGTCTTACATCGATTCAGCACATGTGTCAGGAAAGGGATGGAGCGACGACACTTGCGTGTCAGCGCACATATCCAAAGGTGAAAGACTAATCTTTTTACACGCTGGTAGGGAACAGCAAACAACTTGTGGAAAAACTAGTGGAGAACTATTCTATCAAAGCCTCACAAACTTCAATCACAGGGAAATGGTTGATTTTGAAATTTTACACAAATAACCAAGACTAGTGTAGAAATCACCAGTAGCCAAAAAACGTAGGTCACGGCTAGCTTTTCTTGGACAGTTATGGCTTTCCTGAAGTTAGTGTCACTTTCCTTGACTTTGTCTGATCATAAACAAAATTTTTATTCGAAATCAATAGTTGTCATTCTCATGAAGTTTTTTATGCTCACACTTAATGGATCGACGTCATCTCGGAGATCAGCCAGCATGTCACTGCCACGGTACCTATCCCTAGCCATCAACGAGGGTCTCACCTAATATCTTCGCGGACCTCTTATAGTGGCTGGCTATAATTACACAAGCAGCCGCAGCATGGATTGAATCTTCTTCGTCCGTTTAGTTGTAAGCTTTTAGTTGTAAACTTTTGGTTGTCAACTTAAGCGTAAACGTGGCTTTTATAAATGGAAATTTATAAATTTACCTAAGCCTTATAAAACTATATATTCAATGAAGGAAGATAAAAAAGGCTATCTTAAAAAAATAGAAATCGCTACCTTTCCGTGAGATTCAATAGGTATCGGCTATGTGTTCAAGTACAAACAATATCAAATAAAACTTATTTTCAAGGTTACGAGACCTGTTGTTAATTTAACGGGCCATTAAGTATATTTATGCACTAATAATAAAAAAATAAGACATACAATTTATTAAGCATTTAATAAGGAACAAGAAAATACATATTAGTAACAGGTAATATGAATAAAATAAATATTTATGACGAGAAACCCAAAACATGGCATTATGGTTTAATACAGAACAAGTGGCTGAAGGAGTAGAAAGTGAACATGATCAACCTTTTTACACACAAAGAGGGGGAAAAATAGACTACCAGGAAGATACGTGAATCAATAATTAATATTTTGACTTTGCAAGTCAAAAGGTGGGAGAATATTAGATGTAGTGTTCAAACATTTAATTTAAATAATCTACGGTTTATATTTTGTTTTGTCTTTTTCCAGCTGCTATAAAAATATGAACTTTAGAAATTTTTACACATGTGTTTTTTGGATGAGTATGTGAATAACCGCTACAGCAGTCTTTGTATTCGTATTTTTTTTTTTTTGTCCTAAGGACACACATTACTTCAGGCTAGACCTAGGGGTTGCGGCATTATCACTTAGATAAAATCCATTGGTGGCTTGGCGGGGATCGAACCCGGGACCTCAGGGACTGAAGTCCCGTTCTCTAACCACTACGCCAGCTCGCTCCCCTTTTGTATTCGTATTGGAGTGGAGGCGAGCAGGCGACTGTACTTGATGGCTGGAGGGGAAGTGTGGTAGGGGAGATTTTCTGTCTCTCTCGCACTGCCTCCCCTACACGCCAAGCACGGTGAAACGGTCTGTACCAACCTAAACCCAACCTACACTAGGCCTAAATTAAAGTATAGGACCAGCACAAAATTCTGACATAGTTTAGTTGATCCCCGATAAATGCAGAGGTCACAGTAGACAAACTTGTACAACACTGCACCGTGACTCCGACCGGAGTTGTACTCACGCTGTGCCAGTACGGCATGACTCCGGTCGGAGTCATCAGCAGCGTGTTAATAAAACCTTCTTTTTGTAATTTTCACTAAGCTCTTTTGTTCTAGGTCTGCAGTTTGAATATGACTGATTATGAAATAAGGGAAGTGTTTGAGCTGCCTCAAAAGCTAGAGCTCATAAGTGAAGAAAAGAAACCTTCACTATGTAGTTTTAGCAGTTACACCAACTCAATCTGTAGCGATTCTACAATTGATTTAGATGAAATTGACCATACGCCCACCATCCCAAATTCGGATGAATTGGGAATTAAAGTAAATGAAACAAAACCACTCCAGAATAATTTTATAAACGATGATCTGACTGAACAATCTGTTCATACAAAGACCAGTGAAATGGAGATGGTAGAACCATCTATTAAGCCTGTTAAACAACCACATCTGACATTTAGTAAATCTGTGTCTTTACATGATGTTTCTAACCTTACATCATTAACTCATAGCGCTAAATCCAATACTGTGTCTTGTGAAACAATCAATAGCCAATCCTTATCATCCACCACTAAATCCAAAGATTCGGGATTTCAAAGATCTCTTAGCTGTCTTAGTCTTACCAGCGGGAGAAGAAGCTATGACCATGTACAAAGTAAAGTTAAAGCGTATATAAGAAACATAAAAGAATCGGAAGCTTTAAATAAAAGAAATAAACTTTTGAAAAAGCTTGAACAGCAAAACGAGCCGGTTGTATTACCAAAAGAGACAGAAACTGTGCATCCAATTGAGAAAGACGATTTATTGAGGGAAATTCAGGAATTGAAACATGAATTGCATGAGAAATCCCTCTATATTGACGCCCAGCACAGAAACTACAACAAACTTTTGTTGAAGTTTGCAGAGGCTAGAAACATAATTGATAACTTAAGAGTGCAATCAATAAGTTTAAGTTACAGTGATGGAAATAGATCAAGAAATCAAATTATGTCAGTTAGTAACTTAACCTTGGACTCGTTTGATTACAAAATTGACACAAATGTTGATCAGCTTGCTTCTTGCATACCTGAAGAAGACGTATCAAAATCCACAAACGACGCTAAAGACAATTTCAAACCAACTCTTCATTCTTCACCTTATGAAAAGAGCTTAAGCCCAGTAAGACAACTTTTTTCAAGTTCTTGTCATCTGGGAAAGAATTACCAACCACTAGGAAATTTAAAACCGTGCGTTCCTAGATTTGATTCTCAAGCTCGAACCAAGCACCAAGGAGCGTTGTCAAAAAGCTATGATGGTTTGAATAGAAATGGCAATCCACTTCTGAATAACCACTCAAACTTACCACAGCGACAGTCCATAAACATTGATCTCCCCAATGATGATCCTTTTGACAAGGTAAGATAATACCAAAGTAAAAATTTAGGGGAAATAATTATGACTAACATAAAAAGGTTTAAAAAAATACAAAAAAAGTTGCCGGAAAATAAAATTAAAGTGGTAGGTATCCGGTATTATAGTTTAATATTTTTCAAAAGTTTTATTTTTTGAGGATGTGTATATGTACAAATAGATAAGAATTAAAATAAAATTCTTACATTTATTTGTAAAGCAGTGCAGTCATTCATAGAACAAATCTTTTGCTAGGGGTTTTGAGAATAGGTGCACAATACTATTCAATGTAAAGTGCTAGTTAAACTTAGCAAAGCTCCTTCACATAATCGGGTTAATTTTCCCTGCATTGATTCAGTATTTTTGCAATAGCCTTAATAAAGAAATGTTGAGCCTAATTGTAACTATAACACATTTTTGTTACATTTTGAAGATACAAAATTGAATGTTTTTGTAAATTGCTAAAATTAGGAGTTTTTGTTTTTTCAGGTAAAGAAATGGCAAGCATCACTTCCCAGTATCAATCTGTTGGGAAGCCACAGTTCATCAGACTGCGAGGATCCAAGCCATTCCCACTCTCCGGCACAAAGGAATTTTAAGAAAAATGAAGGTTGTTGCAAATCTAAGTGTTTTACAAACACAAAAAGGGACGAAAATGAAGTCTGTAATGTACTGTCTCAGGAGCTCCAAAACAAGTGCATTATTACAGAAATGGAAGTAGATATTGAGCGACAAGGAACTCAATCGACAAACATCCAAAATTCTAAAGGAACTAACAAAAAAGAAAAGAATTTTAACGCCTCTGTGAAGCCAACCAAAAAAGTTAAGGAAAAAAAGTTGGTACACGACCGTAAAGTGAAGTTAGTTCCAACAAATGGTTGTGAGGGTATTTTTAATAGAAAGAACAATCAGCAAACAGATACAAACAATACAAAGCAAAATTCGATTACAAGAAAAAAATCTGCCAAAGATTTGTTTCTGACCAAACCTCAAGCCAAGCTTATAAATACAGATTTATTGTGTTATGAAGAATCATCAGTTTCAGATGGGGATTCCACTCATCTACCCAAGTCATCTTCAATGTCTCAATGTAGGGTGAACAAACTGGATGATGATTACAGTGACGACAGTTCAAGTATTTCCTCATCAGTCCTTGGGTCGGACTCAGCAGCTTCCCAAAAATCTCACAAGAGAACAAAAAGAAGATTGGATTGTAGTGAGGTGAAAGTTTCAAGTAAAGTTCCTAAAACCACCAAATCTAAGTCATCACAAACAATTTTTATCATGAGGGAACCAAAGTTAAACTTTACCTCACATTTTGGAAACAATGGATCTCAAATAAATAATCAGATCTCAGTGACAAAAAGCACAAATAATGAGTCTTCTTTCAAGCATAAGAATCCTGAACATCCATCAAACGGGATTACGAAGACTGAATCTAGTCAAAGAAAAGCTTGGAATGCAAGAAATGATGCAAACTTTTATGTCTGCAAGGATTTCTCATTTTCAGTAAGTATATTTTTTTCCTAATATTTCTAGGTCCTGTAGGATATGCTGACAATATTAGAGTGAAATAATTAATCTAGTTAAAAATCGTCTCCTATTTAAGTATCAACAGAATATTGCTGGATGGTAATTTAGAAAAGCAAAACGTTTGACTAAGGAGGAGGAGTTTAACCTCAACCAAGCTGTAAAGATTCTATTGATATGATTCACAACTTTTCAACTCCTTACTTGACAGTAATATCATGCACAGTGTTACAGTAGTCTATAAACAGTCGTCTTTGATAAAATAAAATAAAAATCTAGAACTAATTTTAGAGAGTAGGTCTTTTGGGTCATTCATCTATTCAGTTCTAAATGTAGTTTTCTTTCAGTCATGGTCTTCATCTAGTCTTCTAGGAAGTGATTTCCTAGCTGGTCTTCTGAGGGATGGTTTCTATCCCTGTTGGTGGGCAAAATAAAAGAGATCCATGTTGAGTTGTGTAAGGATCAGGTCCTTATTGCTAAATAGTCTACATTGATTTGCTGAACGTTAATATTAATTAGGTCTAACTTTTTTGTTTCAGAAAAGCACTTCCCTGATGGAATGTATAAGAGACATGGAGGGGTTGGTCTCTAAAGGTACGTTTGTTTTAAGTTCAGCCATAGATCGTAACAATGTCACTTGTTAGTAATATATTTCTTAAGTTTTTGTATATTTCTTTCTTTTTTATTGTAATAATGTGCCATATTTTTAATGTTTCTCATGTTTGTTTTACAAATTTAGTGGTAGTTTGTTGTGTAACAATATTTTACCATGCTCTCTTGTTATATTCTTTTTGTATTTTAAGCTATATATTGTGCTATTTTTTATATTTAAGTACCATACTTGTTATGTGTTTTGTAAACTCATGTTTTGTATTTTACATTTTAGTCTCTTGTAATTTGCACACATTTTATCATAATTAGACGGAGGATTATGTTGAATATGTCTAACAGGTTATTAGTGATTAAGAAAACTACCAGGGCCCTGTTTCATAAAACTACTAGTCTAGTATTTACTAGTCCATGGACTAGTAATACTAGTGTATTTTACAAGTCTACGTTTCAAAAACCTACTAGTGTAAAATACTAGTTACTAGTGTAGGGACTAGTATTACTAGTGGTTTTTACTTGTGTAGACAGCAATGAGTTTCATAAAGTTTTACTCTTGTAAATTACACTGGTAAATACTTGCCATTTTCTAACAACCTCTCTACTCCCGTATTATTTGAAGTAGACTAGTATTTTTGGAAAGAGAGTTATTTCATTACTCACATAATTTAAAAATATGAATTATTAAGTTCTTTTTGCAAGTGCGAATTGGCTCATGTTTGCAATTTAAGATAAAAATAGATCTATGAGTGCTAAAATGATAATTATTATTAGATATAAATTACAATCAATAAATGTGGCGTAGTACAAAAAGAGTGAAATTGCATTTTATAATGTATGGAAAATCGCCCTATTACAATTAATTATAATTTAAGTTATCAATTTATGTGAAATTTTAGTCTAATTTTACTTAAGTTAAATTTCATGGTTATATCAACTATTTAGCTATCACAGAGAAAAAATTTTTAAGCTTTGAGAGAAACCAAAGTAAAACAGCATACCGTATTGCATACAAAGATGTACAAAAATGTATCCAACATTGCAACATTAATCAGATTATTTTACTCCCAAGGCTCTCGGTTTTATTTAAATACATTTTAATAGGAAATAATAGTAAGAAAATTTTAAAGAGGAGTTGCATTGTATTTTTTTTAGGTGCTTATTATTTGTTTCCCTAAATAGCTAAAACCCTGTAATGTACTAACAATTTTGTAGGCCTATATTTGATTTTTGGGCGTTGGACTGAACTGCTTATCATAAAAACATTACTTTTAATCCATTTTGGTATTCTGATTTGTTATTCAAAGTAATAAAAAAATTAGATTTTGATTAGAGCTGTTATTTAAATGTAAAACATGTAAAAGTTACAACTAAACTACAGAATATGTGTACACATGTACACAGAATATGTGTATGTTACAACTAGTGTCAGAATATGTGTGTTTATTAATGGAACTAAAGTATAGTGAGTGGTACCTACTAAAACCTACTTCTCCATTGCTTGTAACGGCGTTGCAATTATTTGTTACATCAATAAACGTTTAGGCTTATTATTCACGGTTTGTAGACTCAAAATTAGAATATCACAGAATGGTTTTTAACCCAAATATTCTTATGCATTCGAATATTTGAAAACATAGGTTAGGGTACTTGAAAACGTTTCTAATAAAATGTCCTAAGACGATTTAATTACATTCAAATGTTGAGCCTTCTTTTCTTTACTCATAGGAAGCTTAATTTTATATGTCAGAATAAAACAAAAACTATACAAATCACAGCAAATGCGGCAGACACAGATCAACTTCCACCCAACTGTTGAGCGCCGCAACTAGGCCTACAACCGGCTACTACAATCACCGTGTTGATTGCAGCGACGCGACGCCGCGCCGGCGGGCTCATTGATGAACATAAATAATAGCGGTTTGATAAATAATGTGTGATTTTTTTACCTATGTGTCTATATATTTATTAATTAAAAGAAAAGACTGCGTTTCTACAACTATTTACTTTTTGTATCAAATGAAAACAAAATTAAAACCCTTTATAAAGGGTTTGAAAACCCGTGATTGAGGTTAGAAATTTGTTTTGAAAGTTTACCTTGTAAAGTTGGTCACGTGACTAGTAGTTTTAGTCACGTGACTAGTAAAATACACTAGTATTTACTAGCGGTATAAAAACGTTTATGGAACACAAATTAGTAGGACGGGTAAATACGGGACTAGTATTTACTAGACTAGTAATTACTAGACTAGTATCTTTATGAAACAGGGCCCAGGTGTTGGACACCTGGACACCGGTTATACCAGAAAGGGCATTGAGTTTGTTAATTAAGTGGGATAACAACATTTTTGGATTTGAATTAGTCACTCTTCTTAATAACACTAACACAAATGTGTACATCGTATTGAATCTACTGAATGTGATATTTTACATTTTTGTGTAGGACATTTTAAGATGTAAGAAATATGTCAATTTTCAAACCAAAGACTTGTAATAAGTTAGGTTGTTCAGTTTTCCACATGGCTTCAAGTCCTCAAAGTTCCTTGTCAATTATAATATTTTAGTAGTTTGTCTATGGTTAAACAATTTTAACTGCTAACACAATGATAAGTTTTTGACATGATTTAAGTTAGGTTTTGTACTGGTAGTGTTAAAGTACAAAAAAAATTGTCAAAACTTTTTTAGGGTTTTAGATGTTTTTTTATTATCTCAAAACAAAATAAAAAAAGTTGCAGGCGTGTCCAGATTCAAATTATTAGAAAAAGCTTACAAAAGTCCAATCTTTCAATAAACATTGTGAGAATAATAATTGATTAATTTGGTGTTGCATTTAATTTTAAATATTCCTTTTTTAAGTCTGAATATGTCTGGTTTTTATTTGCCGAATATTCCTTGAGTTTTATTCTCAGTTGGGTTATTTTTACCATTTGAAAAGTTAAAACTAAAACCACCTAACAGTTTTGTAAAAAGGTGGATGATAATTCTTAGAGAATTAGTAAAAAAAATTGGTTAATGTAAAAAAACTGTCTTGTAAAATGATCTTCATTTCTGTGTATCTTGACTCGCTACTAAAGTCAATTTAGTTTTGTCAAATGTTACGTAACTTTCTTGTACTGGTAATTTTTCTGTAAGTTGGTGGGAATGTAGTTTATACAGTTGCAACAAGGTCGTATACATTTTTGATACTATACATTTTATCAAAGATTCTGTTTCCAATTTAGAGCCTGAGAAAAAGCACATACAACTAACTAGTCTTCTTACCTCTACATGTTTTATGCCAGAAATGTAAACAAAAGTTAATGTAGTGAAACAAATGTACCACAGAGCAGTAATAAGTTCAGTAGATCATCTAATCATTCAAAAATTGAGTTTGAATCAATAGGGAGATTCATCTTTTCAAAGTATTTCAAGCACTAACTCATAAAACGTAAAATATTTTAATTTGTTGAACAAAATTCTTAATGCAATCTGTTATTAGAATTGCTGAGGCTACCAAGAAAATGTGTACATTTTTCTGTTAATAAATGAAAGTTTAAAAAATGTGCAAAAGGAAGTTAACATTTTAATCTTACAAACTTCTGACTAGGTTTGAAAATAATCAAGAGATGAGAGATGACTGTAGTTGTAAATTAACAATTAATTGTTTGGTTTATATTTAAATTAACAAATTTAGGCTATAAAGAGTGATAGCTATGCATTTAATAGCTTTAATTATAAGGTTTGGATAAAAATACAGTCACAACTTTTATTTGCTGAAAAATCTAAAGTAACTTTATCATGTAGTAGTTAGTCTGAAGTATTAGTTGGAGTGTAGTCAGGGCCGTATTTCCCTAGCGGTGGTTTATGGAGTGCCTCAACCTGGGAGGGAGGCTTTTTAATTAATTTGATTGATAATCAAGCGTCTTCGAAGATTGAACAATCTCAAATCCCGGTCTTGCCATGATCACTGAAGAGGAAAATAAACTTTCCAATACCGCAAAAAAAAGTAAACATTTTCTCCGTGACCACAAGAGATGTTCATGATTATTACGCAATCAAGGGAGTCGAAGGCGATGTCTCTGCAAATGCAGAAGTTGTTCAATATTTCTCTGTGAACCTGGAGCTGTCCATGATTCCTCTACAAAGATGTTCATGATCTTGTCGCGACTGCGTGAGACCTAGAATGTTTTTGCAAACAAAGATGTTCACTATTTTGCTGTAAAAATTAAACATAACCGTGCGATTCCTTATTGATTGCAGAAGATGTCCACAATTTTACCGTGACCGCAGGGGGCATTCAAAATTATGCCGTGACCGAAGAAAATTTATTTTAGGCCCATTTTCATTTTTGTTCCGTGTTTCAATTTTGAGGCAATTGCAGAAGTCGTTACCGATTTACCGGTCGTCCTCCGATTTGATTCCGGCCTGAGACCTGAAGGTCAATGTTTTTATCGGGAATCGTAAGTAATAGAGTCTGGCCCGTAGACCTCTAAAATTATCATCAAAGTATGGAATTAATTTATAGCTAGTTTACTAGCCTCTAGGTCTCACCAATCAGATTGTCAAAAACAAAGGGTCGAGGTCATAAAGTTGAAGCAGTATCGCGCATATTTGTAAATCCCCTAGGCTCCAGCCACCAAAGAATGGGATAGGGGGGCGGACATGGCTGAGTTGCCATAGGCCAGATAAGAGTCAAAATATAGCCCTGAGTGTATTTTGAATATTTTTTTTAGCTTTGAGATTTACCTACAATTGGATGAACTTAATTGTATCACAACAACACATCACGAGTAGATGACAGTAGTTAACTGAGTAGAAACCGTAGAGTTAAAATAAAAAAATGATATGTTATGACAAGTATCTCTTGCTGATTAGACTAAATGATCTTCTATATTAGGGTGAATAAAATAAATGCGGTAAAAAATATTGGATTAGTGGCAATCATAAAAAAATCATGCTGCAATGTATTCATGACTGTAGATAAAGGTATTATTTAGATATTCTATAAGAATGATAAATCTGAACTATAAGATTTTGTCCGTGGTAAAAACATGTGATTTTAATCAAGCAAATCACTCTTGATTTGATATTTAGAAATAACATTGAGATGTTGATATTATGTGCTTTTATTTAGTGTTGACATAATTTTCTTGATTTAAAAAGGCATAAATTCTTCAAGACTAGAGTAGAGATACATTGAATGTGAAAAGTTTTATCTCTGAATCAAAGTAGAAACAGTTATTGATGGTCGGTTTTTTCAAATGATCTTAAATTAATTGACTGTTTTCTGATTACATTGAATTAGTGTTAGTAGTACTTTAATTTTCTTAAAGTTAAAATATATATAGTCCTTTAAAATGGTAAGTGGTGTCACTTAAGATTCTTATACTTAAATAGTTTGATAACTGAATCAAAGTAGAAACAGCAACTATGTATTTGGTCATCAGTGCTCTTTTCCTGAGCACAGTCTTGTTTTAAATAATATTGCAAGTTAAACTTTTAATTGTACAATATAGCTCTTTTGTGAATTCTTGATTTTTCCTCTGTAGAAACGTCTTCTCGTGATGTATCTTATGTTGTGCTGATTTTCTTATTTTCAACAATACCAAAAATTGGCATTCTAGTCTGTATGTCATCATTAATAAAATGTACAGTTGATATAACACTGCACTGATTAGTACCCACACTTATTGAATATTAAGTTTGTTGTCCACATGAACAACAGTAGGCTACTAATTGTAAATAGTTTTGGGATAGCTTGTGTTGAGTTACCTATGTATGTGTGCCAAAAATTACCCTAGCACAATAAGTTAATTTTAGATACAATAATTATAAATAATAAAATCAATAATTTTAACTAGAAATCCCATTGAGTGAAAAGTAGTGTAAGAAGAGTTTGACAAACATTAAACCTAGGCTATCCTGGATATTTTTCATCATGGAGCAACCCATATTTGTTAACTTGTTTCGTTTTAGACTCATGGATCTTAATTTGTACCCCATTGTTCTCAAAGGTTGAATTGAACGTTTTTGTTTAAATTTGTAAGATGACAACATAATGTCCTGCCATGAATACTCAATGTAACAGTTTCTAAAAATAAAGACATATTTTTTTGTACAATATTTTGCATTTTTCATTTCCCTTTAAGCTAAATAACAAATTGAAACAAAGATTGATTTGTGGTGGAATATTAGAGCACAGTCAGTGTTTAAAGTGAAAAATTAGTGAACGTGATGTTAGTTGGAAAACGTTGCTGATTTACTGGTTTTGTAATTACTGTAATTGATTAGCCTATATTAGATATAAACTATTCATTCATTTAATTTATTATGGGTAAAAAAATACCACAAAATTGTTTTGAAAAGTATAATTTGATAATTAGTAATACATAAGTGTAAATACTCTATTGACCTTTCAAAATCAATCAGACTACATAATAAGAAATTTGTGTATGAAAATAATGCAAAACAACACTGATGACTTTTATACAAATTTTATCTCTATATATACAAGTATCAACTCCTAATATTTATATATGTACATTCAAGAAAATTAATTCTAATCTGAGATCTTCAGTCCACTAAAACACCTCACAAATAATGAAAAAAAAAACACATTTATCTATTTTTTCCATCTTATGGGCATGAGGTAACCACCATGTGGTTGTTGTTTACACTATAGGCTAAAGTTTTAAAATGAGAAAGTGTATATATAAAATAAAAGAAGTTTCAAACAATTTTATATAGTGAAATTGCATGAAATATGTCATAACTACAATTTGAAAGTAGTCTACTTGTTAAAATCCGTTGCTTGAGATCCTTTTTTATATAAAATAAAGATTTGAGAATACTAAGACTTACACCAAAATAATGGCGACATTTAGCATCTTGGAAACAAACTATTGTAGTGATTTTGCAAAATAATCAAGGGCTACCTTTATTTCGACAATTAATTATTCTTAATGATGGATTAATGATAAACTTTAAATGGTTGATAGTTACAAATTTATTTGTAATCATCTTTAAAACTACTTTTTACAATCCAGATAAAAAAAAAACCTGAAACCATTGGTTCACACACATTACTTGTTCATTGTACCAATGTTAAAGTTATTTCCCTGTTGAATATTTGATTAAAATTGAGATTTTTTACTGCTTTGAGAGCTTCATTAGGACTGCTGAAACATACCCTAGCATCTCCTGTTGGCCTTCCATCTTCATTGAATCTCCTGATAACATTGTCCCTAGGAACAAAGAAACCATGAAAGAAATCTATGATATCCTGGACTTCAGCACGATATGGCACGTTCTCCATAGCAACTACACATCCGGGTTTGCCAAAGGCATTTACACTTTGTGAATCTACGTCCATTTCATTCGGTGGGGGATGATGTCTACCAGGCCCCTCAGGATAGGGGAAATGACCTCTTCCTCTTCCTCTTGAAGGTGGGAAGCCTCTCCCTCTACCTCGAGGGAAACGAGGAGGATAGCCAGGCATTCCTCGAGGATGACGGAAATGAGGACGAAACTCTTGCTGTGGAAAATTTGGTGGGTAGTCCTCTTGCATATGGTCATGTGGTGGAGGGGGGATACCAATTGCTTCCATAAGTTCTTCTCTGGATACAGGGTTAACTGACACAACACTTCTACCCATATGAGTCCCATTTTTACTCAATGCCCTCTCTACTTCCTCAGTTGTATTGAACTCACAAAATGCATCACCAGCAGGTTGGCCCTGTTTGTCTAGCATAATGTGTATTTGAGTAGGCGCAAGGCCTTCATCAGAGAAAAAGTCCAAAATGTCTCTATCTGTAACAGAGAAAGGCAGCCCTCGCAGAATAAGGCAGTCAGTCTGAATAAAGTTGGCAGGTCTCTTGGACCTATTTTGAGTTTCTTGTTCGGGATTTAAATCTCTTTTATTTGGTGTACTAACAGTTTGCTGATTTTCAGTATGAGAATCTACAACTTCATTTTGTACACGACTTTCATTTTTATCACTTTTAACATCTTTTTGATCAACATGGTTATCACTTTTGATAAGATCTTCTTTAGAAGTTGATACATTACTATTTTTAGTCTTATCATCCTTGTTAGGGGCTTTCACTCTGCCTTGAGAAATACTTTCAGGTTTAATATTTGGAGGTTTGTGCATATCATTTGGATGGTCATTTGTTGGTTTGTTCCTTGAGTTGGGTGGATGTGGTTCGAACTCTTCCTCATATGAACTACGTTGGAAATCCTCTTGAGGATGATTTCTTCGATTGCTTTGAAATTGGTGTCTTCTACCACGATCATCTCTATAATTGGATTTAGAAGGGTAGCGTCCGCCATCTCTTCCCCCATCCCTCGGATATGTTTTCTGGTGATGCATATCATCAGGACCATATGGTTTCTGGTGAAAATCCTCCCTTGGAGAGCGGGATGGGAACTCATTTTGCCTTTTATCAAAGTGTGGTGGATTAGAGCTGTTACTGCGACCAGATCTTGGATCAAATGGTTTAAGACCGGGTGTGGGCAATAAGACTCTTTTCTCAGACTGGTTAAATCTAGGATCTGTTCTTTCTGAGCCGTACGCTTGAGGAGGATAATTTTTAGAGAACCTGGAACCCCTTGCATCCTGAGGAATGTATCCTGTATCTTTGGGATCCATAATTTCTTCATCATTTTCTTCCATATTCTTTCGATCCCTGGCTTCATCAAACTCATGTTCATAACATACTGCTGCCTTCACAGAAGTATAACCGATTGCCAGTCTAGATGAACTTGTTAGGGCTTTCCTGGCTTCAGCTGGGGATTCAAACCTAACATATCCTGTAGCTGTCTTTCTTCCAGTTCCTAAAAGAACAAAAGCATCAGCTACTTTTAAACCCTTAAATAAACTATAAATATCTCTGTCTTTAGCGAAGGAAGGTACATCATGAATGACTAAGTCAGTGAAATGTTCCATTGGCTCTTGTGGTCTTCTAAAGCTGTCATTATAATGCTTTGGATAAGCTGGAGCATCTTCTAAATAGTTTTCTGAAAATTCAGAAACATCTGTAGCTTTATCAAATATGTTGTCATCAATGTGTAGCACTTCAACAGGTGAACCATTTAAGAGTTGACCTGTTTTCTTGAGAGCCATATCCTTAAAGTAGACTTTTCCAAATCGGACATAAGCTATCCCAACTTTATTACCCTTTTTATCAGTAATGATTTTGATGCCATTTTCAGGAATTAGTAAACCTTGGAAAAACCTCCTAATATCCAAGCTTGTTGTGTTCATTGACATATCTCTGATTTCTACACAGGTATTGATGAAAACATTCATTGTATTGGAAGGGCCAAACTCACTTCCAGGAAAATTTTGTTGAGGCGGGTATGGTCCATCATTTCTAATTTGGGATTGAGTAAAATCACTTTGCATCCTTGGATCATGCTTCACATACGGAGGTTGAAATTTATCATTGGGAACCATCATTGGGGGTCTCATAAACATTCCCATATTACCCATCGGCTGAGGTAATGGTTGCTTATCTAGAGGGTTCAGGTTTCCAATTTCTGGCATGGGCATCATCATGGAGGGATCCATTGGTGGTCTCATAGGAGGCCAACCAGCCATATTTGGAAATTTCCCAGGATCATTTAGAGGCATCATACTATTTGATTCGTTCGGAGGGAGTAAAGGTTGGTTTCTTCCAAATGGGGTATTTTGTAGTGAGGGTGGGAGACTGTGAGGAAGCTGAGAAGCGCCTGGAGGAAATGTGTTAGGGTCAAACCTTCTTCCATCTTGATCTTTAGGAACATCCATAGGCATCATGGGGAAATTAGGAGGTTGAGGTGGCATATTCAGAGGTTGGGACATAGGGATAGCTTGTTGGGGAACTGGAATTTGGTTGGGTATCTGAATTTGCTGCGCATTAGGATTTGTACCAGATCTGGAAGGTTGTGACGCTGCAGCAGTTGGATTTTTACTAATACTAAACCCAATCGGAGTGGAGAGAAGTGGACCAGTTGCTTTATCAGAGGCCCCTGCTGCAACCCAACCTGAATTGCTGAATCCTGGTTTGCCTGGTTGAGCCAAAGTAGTTGGCATTGGAATATCCTTTTCTACAGCTACATTAGCTGGCGCATCGTTGCTATTCTCTATATTGTTTTGTTCATTGCGATCATAGTCTCGTTTCTTGTCCTTTGATGACCTGCGGGATCTGTCTCTGGATCTGCTTCTGTCTCGGTATCTTCTTCTATCCCTACGATCTCTGCTTCTGCTTCTATTTCGTCGTCTTCTATCTCGATAATTATCTTTACGTCTATGATTTCTGTCTCTAGACCTTGACCTGTCCCTCGATCTATCACGGGATTTTGATCTATCTCTGGACCTTGACCGATCTTTTGATTTAGAACGATTTTTAGATTTAGACCTTGAACGACCCTTGCGACCTCGTTTGTCATCTTTTCCGGAGATGCTGTCTGTATCTTGATCTTTCTTTTCAGTTTCAGGTTCAGGCTTGGCCACTTCTGGGGTGGGAATCGAAGACACCGGAACAGGTGGAGGTTTTATTTCCGGAGTTGCTGGTTTTGACACAATCTGATTGATTTGAGGCATTGGTGGTATTACAGGTGTCGTCTGTGAGGGAGTTGGTGGAATCTGTGTAGCAGGTATCACTGGAATTTGTGTTGAGGGCATTTGCATGAATGTCTGAAGACTCATACTTTGAGCCCTTGCGGTTTCAATGACCTTCTGCATCTCTGAACGTGAGCTGAGGTATAATTTTATCTTCACTTCCTTAATCTTTCCTCCATCAGTAAGCATCGCTTGACGGGCATCTTCATCAGTGCTGAAAAAGTATATTTTAAGTTAGTTGATTTGCAATTCAATGGTAATATTACATATAAAAAAAATTGGCAAAATTAGTCGCTTGGGGATTTTTTTATTCCCCTGCCGAAACGACAGGAAATTAAGACATTTACTGTTAACTAAGTTACACTGTAGCCTACCAAATTTAGTTGTCTGTCTTTCCAAAATGGGGCGTCTCAAAAATATGAAGGCCAATCCAAATTCCCTAGTAATTCAATGTTAGCAGTGGCGTAACAGCCACCCCCGCAGACCCCGCGGTGCGGGGGGGCCCGCGAGGTTTAGGGGCCCGCGAGGTTTAGGGGCCCGCGAGGTTAAGATACCCTTTTCTCATAAAACCGTCCGTAAAACCGATTCTTTGTTCACGGATGTTTTTCTCTCCTGACAAATTATAAATAAAAAAACGATGTGTTGGTAGATACTTTTATTGTGCCAAATCTACTGAAGTTTTATCTTTTAATTAACAATATCGTTAACGAAACGCCAACGCTCACCACGATCACCCGACGATGTGTATTGTCAGTGTGGTTGTGTAGCTTCATGCTAGCTTGCGCTAGGAGCTGTGTGCCAGTGTGCCTGCCTGCCGCCGTGGCGACACACACTCGGAGCCAGCCCCTCCTCCCTCCCCCACTACCCGCTCACGTGTAACTCAGCTGACCGTAGATCACCTGATTTTGGAGATCAAAACAAAACAATTTGTTTTCTGTTCTCAGTCCTGACTCCTGAGTTTCTGTTGAGCAGTAAAGATGATGAGCTTCAAGTGAACTGGCTAAAGAATATAGCGAAGATTTGACATCTGACTTTCCTAGCGAAATGTTAGGCCAGGGACACACTTACCGGCGAAACCGCCGGACGCCGGATCGGGCGGCGCCGGAGCAAGTTGAGATACACAGGAAGGCATGGGACAGGCCACACTTCTCCGGTTCGGCGAATCTGCCGATCCGGCGGGAAAATTCTCCGGCGAACCCGCCGGATATTCTCTACCTCGCCGGACCGCCGGATCGGCAGTTTCGCCGGAGCAGTGGGCATTGTGCTCCGGGGCATTGTGCCTTATGGAGATGAACACACTTACCGGCGAAACAGCCGGACTGCCACTGCCCCCACTCCTCAGTGGTGGTTGTTTATGATTTTAAATCAGTGTCCAAGGGGTGTATTTAGTTTTGTTTTGCTATTTAGTTAATTTAGTTTTTATTTTTAGTCTGTTTAGTTTTCTATATCATCATGGTAGATGTTGATATGGATTTACTTATTAGTTTGGTTCATGAGAAACCAGAACTTGTGATAGGTCTTTGGAAGTTTACAAAGACAATAACAAAACGAGGGACAGCAGCAGCTGGCGACAAATTTGTGCCGCACTGAATCCAGCCTTTCCAGCGTCTCATGTATGTGTTTTGCCCTTGTATTTGCACTGTAATCTTCGATATTAGCTCGTCGAATGAGGGGACAGACATTCGAAAATAATTAAAAAAACGTATTTTCTTCAATTTCAACTGTACAAATAGAGTGTGAAAAGCTCCATGTAGCTGTCTGTTCTCCAGAATAGGATGTACCCAAACAGTTCGCTGGTGTTTTGTCTTCCTTCTGTGGTAGATCAAACACAGCAAGGCCAACGTTTGAGGTCTTGAAAGCACTATTTCTAAGACTAAACTGTACTAGAACTGTACTAGTGTAAGACAAAACTCATTCATAGTTCATTGCACTCTATTTACTGTCGCCGGCTCCGGCAAAAATAGTTTTCGCCGGAACAAGTGTGTTCTGACCCTCAACCTCCGGCGGATCCGCCGGATCCGGCGCTCGGCGGTTTCGCCGGTAAGTGTGTCCCTGGCCTTAAGTTTCAGAAGAACTTTCAGACATGAAATCAAAGCTAAAAAAGGTCCCTGAAAGAGATGGCAGAATTTTTGTTCCTGGAAAACTATTCTGTTGCATCCAGTTTACCGAATTTATGTACAGCATATTTACTATTTTTGACTCTACCTGTTACAGTGGCTTCAGCTGAACGTTCTTTCTCCAAATTAAAATTAATAAAAAATTATCTCAGTAGTACTATGTCACTAGTATGTCTCAGGAGAGACTAAGCGGGTTGAGCGTCTTAAGCATTGAAAACGACATTGCAAGACAAATTGATGTAAAGACAGTCATTGAAACTTTTGCAGCTAGAAACGAAGCAAGATCAAGACATTTCAAATAAATAAAAACCTTCTAAAAGTTCTTTTTTGTGATTTGTAAAACAATTTGAACTTAAAACATGTGTTAATGTATAGCAAAGTATTTCTTGTCACTTTAAAAATAAAAGTTAGGCTATTTGTTATATTTTTTGTATTTTTTATTTCACCGAAGTCAGTTCACGCTAGTGAGTTTTAAATTTAGGCCTACTGTAGGCTACCATGCTCTACTTAGCTTCTCAATCAGATGTCATGTCATTAAATTGGGCTAATTTAGTGAAGCACTAACATTTACAGTTGGGACCACGAAAGTTTACAGTTGGCGGCAGCCAATCACAAGACAAGGCTAGTGCGACGTTGCCATATCGCCCGTTGACGACAATAATTAAAATACTAAACAATATTTTTAAAACAGCTGGTATTATTAGATTTGGCAACACCGCACTGCCCTCATTGGCTCCTTTGAAGTGAAATGGTAAATAGGCTACTCCATCAACTGCAAACTTTCGTGGTCCCGACTCAAATTATAGTTGGAAGCTTGGTTGTTTTAGTAATGAATGTGAATGGTGGAGTAATGGAGTAGCCCATATATATTAATCACGAACATAACTCCCAAGTTTATTATCACTGTGACAAAATATAAAATATGTTTCAAGGACGACTCTGGTCGTGTGGTTGAAGAATAGGTAAATACTTGATATTGCTAGAGACCATCCTCTGCCAGTCTGATCGTGTAGGCCGTGGCCGTAGGCCTGCCGTCACCTACGTCATGTGATAGTTGTGGTGTGGCGATGGTTGTGGTATATAGTGCTGTGGTGGGGAATGGGAGGGGTAGCAGGGGGCCCACAGACATTTTTGCGGGGGGGCCCGGGGAAATACTGTTACGCCACTGAATGTTAGCCAAAAAACCATTACGAGCAATGGTTAACAAAATTTGCCACACTGTGCTGAAACTATGCAACTGTTCAAAACTCTTGGTATGTAACATATAATACAGTATGGGAAAGGTAAGGACTAAGTAGTGAAACAGACATTCCATTTACAAAACATGAACCAGCAGCAGCCAGATACTATGGTCCGAAAGTGTCCTTCCAACCACTACATAATATGTATTTTGAGTCTTTCATTACTTTCTAAGTTCACATAATTCTGTACATAACCAATTATCTCTTTAAAAATAGAATTAAATAAGTCCCAGTAATTTACGGTTTATCCGGCTACATTTTTATGTGAAAGAATGTAAACTGTTTACCTAAAGGCAATGAAGGCATCGCCGAGCTCTCCGCCAACAATGTGTACACCTCCTTCAGGGATGGAGAGGCCCTGGAAGTATTGGCGGATGTCTAGCGCATTGGCTGACCAAGGCAGGTTCTGCAGCCTGATGATAACACTCATGTTGACTGGGGTCTGTCTGCAAAGAAAGACACCGGGTTGTAGGCCTACTAATGGATCTCACATTTTAAATTGATCTCACAGAGAACATGGGGTTAAGCTATGAACTATTGGATGGATTGGAAGAAGACATACCATCAGTATATAGATCAGCTGCAGCTATTGTTTTATTTCAAAAAGATGAATCAACCACACAGAGTTATAAGTGTATCATAGTCAAATTTAATTTTCTACTTGTTATTAAAATTTTGTTTAACCACAATAGTTTATGTAACAAAAAGATGCTTTTGCTTAAAATAAGTATTTTCAAATACGGTACGGTAAGTAATTCACGCCCATGGCCGCGTTTCTAATTTCCTGGGCCCAGGGGCACAGAGGTTTTCGGTTTGTTGGGAGATCTCTCAGGACCATAGAGCATCATGCAAACCAGGACCCTGTTCGGAATTCACAACTTTGTGAACATCTTTGTCAATGAGTAAGTTTAACTAAGTTTGTTTTTATTCTTAAAATGTGCAGTAAAAGAAACAGATATCGAGGAGGAGCACATAGTAATTAAACTACTTTTTTTCAAACCAATGTACACCAATGACTAATTTTATGTGTACATAGCTAATTAAGTGTACCCATATATTTTTGTACAAAATTCTATTAGTTTTTTCGATAATTGAAAGAAACCTAATATATTAAAAAAAAAAAACATAAAAAGAGTGCAGAAACAGCCCAATATAAAGCAGTGAAAAGTCAAAACCCATTTTGAACGTCAAAGACGACATGGTTAGGTTATAAAACAGTGTGCGGTCAACGAAGGAATCACTCACTGTTTGCACTAACATCGTGGGAGATAAGCAGCAGTAAAGATAGCTCTGCCGGTTTGAATGCAAAAATGTCGTTATGATTGAACTGAAAATGATAAAAAATACAACATTCTACCTCGGACAATCTAAGGAAACCCATTAATAATCGGCCCTTTCCACAATCTGCAATATCTGCATTATCACGTGTTGTACACTGTTTCCATGTATAGGTATTGTTTTTTTCGAGTTATCAGATAAGATAAGATATACAATGCTCTACGGCATAGACACACAATTATAAACCAATAAAGATTAATCTCTAGAGCAGACAGTGCTAAAATAATAATCTCGATAAGACCCTTTGAAAAGGCGCATTGAAAACGTTTAAGGAACCCTAAAATAATAAGATGTTATGTATACAATGCCCTAATGGTGTAAGGATGGTATGTGCTGTTTTGTTTATAATATCATCGGTGATTACGTGAGGAATATTTTTCCATCACGATTTCGTCAAGAATTTAGCATGGGGTTTTATAATCTACAACAAATTTAAATTTAAATAAATCGCTAGCCATTCATAATCTTAACTGTTATAACCCCAATCGTACGATGTTATCATTACGGCGGAGTTCAAAACACAACAAACTTGAAGCTTTGTTTGACTACGACTTCCCGTCTTCTGCTTATCTCTCGTCACTGGCTGTCTTCTCATCTCTTCTGAACGATGAATACTGTACTTGGCTCACACCTCTCTCCCAGTATTTACAATAACAATTCAAAGCGTGTGCATACAATTTCTTCTGACAAAGCAATATCAAATCGTGCATTCGACAAGAACAAAATAAAACACTGAAAACTAACAAACTCTTCTAAACCAAACCAAAATTCCGTTCGATAGGCACCTCCGTTCGGCAATAGGTTAGGATAAATGCCTCTGTTGCCGAGTCGAACGTGAGTTTTGAATTAACCCATGCAGATAGTTAGCATGTCACCTGCAATATTCATCTATTCTGCCAGCTATAGTATTGGGGTAAAGAAATAAATTCATTGATGTTTTTTATTTAAGTGTACTTAATTTGTATATTTCATATTATGACGATATATATTTGCATGTAGGCCTACAAGCTTGAAGGAAATGGCCTACATTCCACATTTCATATCCATTAATTGTTCATTACTCTTGTAGGCTTACGTTTATTTTTTTTTAGCTTATAGCTGTTCTAATGACAAAAAGGATTCTTATTCTTATCCCGCCAATTTCTTATCTAGTCCAGTCATAGATTGTTGGGGTAAAGTGTAATAGTAACGTTAAAGCTTACCGGGCGTGTAACGTACGATAATTTTACATCATAATATTATGGAACACAGAAAAATAAGTAGCCTACATAAACTAATAACACAATTTATTTAGGATATAGCATAAATTTTAATATTTCAGAAAATAAAATAGACCGTTGCAGTTAGCTGTTTATTTCATCAGCTGACTAAGTGCAAGGTAATAGTATATTACGTTACTAGTCCTGAAAAAAAGTGTTTACCGGACGAGTGTGGTCGTTCCCGTGCGAGACGAAGTCGAGTACGGGAATACCATAAGAGTCCGTTACACACATTTTGGACTAGTTACGTACGATAGTTTACGTCATACTACTAAATCTGTACCATAGATAAAACATACTCCCTTAGTAGATTTCTCATCCTTATGGAACAGCTGAAGACAATTTTATTGTTAGTACATGTACGGTTTATGTAGAGGTCGTGTTTTGTTTACAATTTGTTTCCCGTTATTACAGCCATTTAAAACCTCGTTTAACCAAATAATACGATCTAATCATAAACAATAACTCGTCCCCTAGTTATATAACCAAACAGTAAAGCACAAATCAAGAAATTAACCGTAAAATAATGGAAACAAAGTTTCATTGACACTAGCGCCTTTGTGTCACGTACATGAACTAGACACGAAAAACGTGCTTCAAAATTTACAATGGGATGAGAAGTCTACTTGTGTTGGTTAATCTATGTCTGTACAAATCCTTATATATTTCCACCAACTAAAGGACTAAAAATCACTAGTCATAACCTCTAAGAGAGATTAAAGAGGTAATGTTTTTGTTTATAACCACTCATTTCCACATAAATACAGTATAATCAGCTGATTGGTGTCCGATAAAACCCATTACAGTACAGTAATACGTAATTAAACCCAATTTGATTAAGCTGGCGGCAAACAGCCGTTTTCTGGACTAAGACCTTGCGTGGAAAGTTCGTCAAAATATTGTAGTGTGGCGTAAATAGTATATTTCGTACCTAGGGCCGAAAATGAGGTTTTGCCGGCTCGAGATAGTTTTTAAGTTCGAGACGAAGTCGAGAACTTAAATCGATCGAGAGCCGCAAAACCATCTCGGTCCGTGGTACGAACGCTATTTTTCACCACACTATACCCTATTACCACTATTCACCACAATAATAATGCACACTGATAGTCAACACAACTACAACTTTAAGGTTATGTGAAGAAATAATTTGAGGAATCAGCAAAAATAAAAATATATAGTTGCTAGGCAACGGTGACAATAACACAATTCTATTGAAATGCTATGGATTTTGATTATGTATTTAAAATGCATTCATGTTTTAAGTAAGTAAGCGGACAGCTGATTTTGCGGCCCCGGCCTGTAAAAACCTGCTCGGTCCCCAAATTATGGACAGCTGGCATCGCCAGCAAAACGTAACTTTCGGCCACCAATTAACGTATGTAATACAGCCAAAAACATGATAGTGTGGTGAAAAATACATTACATTGGTTACTTTTCCGTGTGTAGGCACGGAAATCAATAAGGATGGAAAAGTGCATGCTTCTAAGTGTGTAGTATGATGTAAAACCACTTCTCGTCCTGGTACGCTTATATAATTAATTAATTAAGGTATTCTACGTCTGTTATCTGTACGTGTTTTTCCAAAACCATTCATAACTCCTTGCTTGTTGGAACTAGAGCGTTGAGATACTGCAAACATGTTCTGCTTATTGACCGTTATCTTTGTACAAAATGTGAATAAAAACCCTTGAAGAGTTTTTAAATGACGGCTAAATACGAAAACATTTCAAGATAAATAAAATTATTTAGTAAATTATGTGGAGGTTTTAATTATATCCTATTAGTTTGGACAAAGAATAAACAAAATTGTAAATTTGATAAATCGTGTGGTTCTATGTTTCACCATAAATGTACTATTATTGAAGATATTTAATACTTTATGTTTTTTTTTAATAACTTGCACGTATACAGGAAACCAGTAATTTTAGACCCATGTTTATATGACTTATAGTTTTTTATATAGTTTTAACTTAATGAAACAATTACAAAATCTTTTCAGGGAGGTTGTATACACCCTGTATTATAATTATGATCTTTACATATAATAACATATGCATACCATGAATATTAGAACAGAAACCGTATTAGAAAAACGTCACTTTATCGGCGCCTCTCGTATTGTTTAAAATCAATAACATTTGGATCAGATGGCAAATCCATCGATATATAACAAACATATAACAAACAAACATATTGTGATCGATGGGCAAATCTCGTCAGCTGATGCACAATAGTAGGCTACGAGTGACCTTGTGTCTCATCTGCTCACTAACAACATGACAAAGGAGTACTGAAGATGAGCGGCCAATCGTAATTCACATGTGCGATATATTCTTTTGAGTAAAAACATTAATTTTCCATTAAACCTACGTATACTACGGGATAAATGTGTCCCCGTGCAAATACAGACCTTGAAGGTGTCTGTCTATACAGGGCTATTAAAAAGTTTGGAGACACCCTGTTAATTTTTTAACGGCACATACTAGAAAAACTAAACTTGGAACACCTTTATGGCATGTTATGAAGTACTTTTTGGGCATAACCGCCACTTGGTGTGCATCCCCAAAATGGGGATTTTGGAGGAAACTCAAAATATTTTAATATTAAGACCCATCGAGTGACCCCTCATTTTGAAGGTCGTGATAAAAGAAAACTAACAACTGAAATCAGAGGTCTCTATCTTCACACAGTAAAATATAGCAGCAAATTGGATATAAAATTGCAAGGTAATTCTGATTTCTAAAGATTTCAATCAGCTGCCATTTTTTTACTGGATTGAGATAGAGACCTCTAGTTTGCGTTGTTAGTTTTCTTTTATCAGGACCTTACAAAAGGAGGGGTCACTCGAT